GATTTGCTGATGCGATTGCTTATGTGTCCTCCTTTGCAGCCAATATGACCAAGAAAAAGAAGGCGGATTAGACTGTTACATCATTTACGTCTCTTATAGGTTTTTCTCAATCGATTCTCTATTTTTTGTCACTGTTTTATTCTGGCTTCTTCTGCTTGGCTAGATGTTGGGCGTGCTCAGTTTACCTCAAGTCTCCTATTTCTTTTCTTTACTGGTTCTCTTTTTTCTCTTTTTCTTTCCTTTGATTGTGTGTCATCTTCTACACTTGTTTGAAAAGTTTTGTGCTTTTGTAACCTTTGTTTCTTTTGCTTAATATGTTTCTGTTCTGTGTTCCTGTTTCTGGCAAGAAAAATGGTGCCTGTTTGTGTTTTCTACTTCTACCTCGCTCTTCGTGTATGTATAACTTTCTTTGTGCATATTTAATAAAAAAAAAATTGTGAATAGTACCACCCTGGCCGCTCTGATGACACTAAAAAAACGTGAGCGGAGCGCGAGCGCCTCTTGAACCCGCGGCGCTACCTTAGTTCTGTAGTGGGTCTTAAAACTAAGCGGAGCGAGAGCGGATGGTGTCTGTGGCGGGTTGATGTACCGTTACACAAATTGGCCGGAAAAGCGGATTGCAGCGGTGCGGTTCAGGTGTTGCTTCCGGGTAACGGGTATTTTTTCTTCAAGCTACATACCAGACCCGCTCCCCGTTAAAGTAACTATGTAACCCTATGTAACACAGGGGCAGGCAATTCCCCATTTAGACACTGTATGAAACCCTTTTGGCCACCAATCACCCAATCAAGAACAATCAAGTCCCAAGATGGACACAAGGGGAGGCTTTCAAAGCCACTTGGACCTCATGTTTTTGATGGTGAGTTATCCCCTTCCGGATTCTATCCTTTCCCAATCAAAGCAACCAATCTAAGACTTCGCTAATAATACTATCTTTTATTTTCTTTCCTTATCCTTTCTATAACTCTGATTCATTTGTTCCACTTCAACCAATCACGACTTCATCATTATGATATTCTTTCATTGATTCTTCATTGGACTGTTCAAACAGATTTTTAGCAATGTCTTCATTTGATTATCTGTTGCGTCTAGCTCTCAGCAATCACAAGGATTTCCTTCTTCAACGCAAGGCACTCCTAGTTGACCTCAAAGGACCCAGCATCCTGTTTCAAATCCTTGAATGGTGTGCCTTCTCCTGATAGCTGCCGAAGAGTGTCAATTGACAAAGCCCCTCCTAAACCAACTTACAAAAAGTCCAAATCATCAGCCACAGTGATACTCAATAGCAAAGAAGAAACTGAAAACAAACCTAAGTCAGATGTACCTCAGGTTGTTGCTAATAAGAAGAAACGTAAAAAAGTTGATAAGGCCAGAGTGGTTAAAGTTGAAGTGAGTTTTTTTATATAACTTGAACAATCAATTCAGATTTTACAAACTGAATCAACTTATTCCTCTTAATCCAGTTCTCTTCTAAGCAAGTCACCAAAGGGATCCTCCAAGCCAATTTGGGGATGGAAATATGGTCTCAAAGCCTTTTAATTTCAAGCATATTGTCTTCATCATGTATGAGAATCAAGTACAAGACCCAGCCATTGTTGATTGCTTTGCAAAGTATAAGATACAATGCCATTTCAGGCATCAGTGTGAGTATTGTGATATGATGGTGAGCATGCTCTGATTTTGCTCAGCTGGACTGGTCAGTTTTAACCGTCTGGATCGACCCCTCACAGAATATATTGGGCGAGCCCAATTGTCAAGGTTACTGAACAGGTTCAATTCTGCTCGGTGTTTGTGGAAGGGTCCATGATTGGTAAGCATGCTCACGATTTGTGTCTGATCACCACATTGCTAAGGTTGTGGATCGTTTTTAACAGGGATTGAATTTTCAGTAGCTGTTGTTTGTTGGCTGGTGTATCAACAGTCCTAGTATCAGTTGGGGAGCAATTGGGGGGTATATGGACGGCACGTCTCAAAAGGTATCACCTGGATGGTAATTAAAGTTCCTATTTGTAAATGAGGTGCGCAATGATATCAGAGTGTTTTGTGCATGGTGTTACAACTGTGAGTTTTGTGTAGCATGTTCCATATTGTGAGGGAACCAAATTGGACTATGGTGGCAAGGTGGAGGTTCAAGGAATGGGTGTGCACGGTCCATCTTGGTCTGGTGTTCTTGCGCCTTTGGTGCTACTTGATTGAGGCAGCTATCAATCTTTACTATTTTGGGGGTTTAATGAGGCTTGGGAAGACACCAAATAGACTTTTTGATCTGCTGGGAACTGGGGGGTAAGACACGTTTCTAATCAATTTGTATGAATGTCACAGGTTTATTTAAAGACATCAAATGAGAAGTTGTTTTTATATTCATGACAAAAGTCATCATTAATGATTACTGTGTCAATTGATTTCTGAAATGATAATACCATTCTTGATCAATTTTTCAATGCTTCATGTTGAAAGCGTCTGCTTTTTGCTAAAGCAGATTCCAAAGTGCCAAGATGTTCTCAAAGGATCTATCAGCTTGCAATTGCTTTAGATTCGCTTCAAACCCAAGAAAAAGTAATTGCTTGAAATTGATATGGAGAGCTTGCAGTTGCTTTGGTTTGGAGAGCTTTTGGTTGAAAGCAACAGGCTTTATGCTTTTGGTTGAAAGCAACAGGCTTTATGCTTTTGATTGCTACATAGCCCTTTGAATCTGGGCTTATAGAGCATTAGATTTCAATTGCTTCAGTTTTTAGCCAAAAGCAAATATCATATCTTGAAGTGGAGATGGAAAGCTCACAGCCAATTTGCTTTGGAGAGCTTTTTGTAAAAATCAATAGCATTCTTGCTTTTGATTGCTGCAAAGCCATCAAAAGCGACAATGATTAACCTTTTTCTATATGAACACTGTCCTGTTGAAGTTGTTTTCGCCCTCAACAAATTTCCACCAGGCTTCAAATCATCACATCTTTTATCAAGTTATTCCTTTTGTTCAAAGGCAGTGAGCCAACAGCAATAAATCGAATATTATTCACTTTCATCACATCTTTTATTGAGTCATTCTTTTTGTTCGAAGGCAGTGAGCCAACAGCAATGAATTGAATGTTCTCTATTCTTTATCATATCTTTCATCAAGTTATTCCTTTTGTTCAAAGGCAGTGAGCCAACAGCAATAAATCAAATATTATTCACTTTCATCACATCTTTTACTGAGTCAATCTTTTTGTTCAAAGGCAGTGAGCCAACAGTAATAAATTGAGTGTTCTTAATTGATTGAAAAATTGCTCCACAAATCAAATTTCAAAGTGTAGCGTGCCAGCCTTGTTTCAAAGAATTTCATTTTAAAATGGTTATCAACTTTTATCTCAGGTTTCAGATGGTTTGTATATCTTCAAATCAATGAAGTTTCATTTTTTTTGGTGTGACACATTCTCTCAAATCAAACATTGTAATGAAATTCAAAGATTGTTATGATTTCAAGAGTTATCATATTGATCTCTTTTGTATCAATCAATTTCTGATAGTTTGTATACAAGAATCTTGAAAGAAATCCAAGTAGTTTCAAGACTAAATTTCTTCTGCATTGTGTTGTTCCCCCCTCAAGCCACCCAATTGTGGATCTTTAAATTGTTCATCAGACAACGATGCATATCTGCATCTTGTAAATCAATGTAGTTTGACATCAAAGCTGCAGGAGAGAGCCGTAATCAAGGATCTCGATGATTCAGAATGATCTTGGTGTCTGTTGGAAAATCATCTATGTGTGGATCTCGGACCTCACGGTCTTCCACATTCATATTATGAAGAATGATACAAGCGTGCATGATTCTATCACCTGTGGCCCCGGGATTGCCCGGCTTATACCCGAGGATATTGTAGCGCATTATCAACGGCTTGATGCCGAAAAACCGCCTGCAGATGAGAACAGATGCGCCAGAGTCATCTGAGGAAATCTTTCGAAATCAGAAGTCAATTCCATCAAAATTTCCTTATGATTAATCTTCATTTCATGAGTGTTCATGCATGTCCTGAACACTCAAAAAAAGGTCTCAGAGACCACTTTACCCCCTAACACCTTGAGACACTTGTAACAGTGCAAGATCCACAAGAACAGCCCAAGTCAGGCTCATCTGACCAAATCTGGCCAAACCTGACATCAGATTGAGTCTGCGTGTTGTAGCCAGACTCATCTGCTACAGTCACGGCTATTAACACAGCTATGACTGCAGCAGACCAATCTGGCACCAGCATACAGATTCATCTGCCACCAACTGCACTATCAACTCAGATGAGACTCACAACTTCTCACTCGAAATTCAATTATCAAGTGTACTGCATATTACCCTCAGGGGAAAACTCATCTGCACTCATCTGATCACACATGACCCAAAATTTCTGACACGTGGTAACAAACAAGGGGGAAACTCATCTGTCCTCATCTGCACACATCAGCTTTGATCAAGCGTCTGTACAGACAGATTTCAGGGGGGTTCTCATCTACACTCATCTGTCTTTATAAGACCTTTGTACGTTTGATTCTCACAAACAAACTCAGCCACCCTCACATTTAGATCTCTTGCTGTCTCACTCTTGCACTCCCCATCAATCAAATACCATTAATCATCTTATAAAAATATGAAAGAAAAAAAATCAATTGTATCATCAGATGGAATCTGATAAATCACTCTTATCTAACATAAGATATAAAACTTGCATCCTTGGATGAAGTTGAAAAAACAAGAAAGTAGGAAAAGAAACATTGAAAAGAAATGGGAATTTTCAGTATCGACAGTATTGTGACATCCGATAGCGCTCTGATCTGACATGAGATCCAAAACTTGTACAGCCGTTGTAATATCTAACGGCATTTTTTTGAAGAGTGGTGTTGTCACCGGATTTTACTCTGAAAGTCAAAAACTCGAAATTTTTTGACTTTCAGAGTGAAGTGTATCGTACTTCTTTAAGATCAGACACTTGCTTTCCCTTTCCTCTCTCCATAACTTTCCCCCATTCCGGCCATTCGTTCGTCAAGTCATTTACCGGAATCCAATCTCTGATCGTGATGGCATCATCGCCAGGGATGTCTTTCCCTCCCGTTCGAGATTCAGTTAAAAAAACAAGAAAATAAAAAAAGAGACATTGAGAAGAAAGAAGAATATATTCAGTATCGGCAGAGTTGTAACTTCTGATAGCGCTCTGATCTAACATAAGATCCAAAACTTGCATATTTTGATGAAGTTAAAAAAAAGAAGATATAAAACGAATCATTGAAAAGAAACAAGTTCGGTATTGGCAGATTTGTAATATACGATAGCTTGCTCTGATATAAGTAGCAATATAGAACTTCGCATCCTTTAACCAAGTTGAAAAGAAACACTGAGAAGACAAAAAGATCATTCTGATTCTATCACCAGATTTGTAATTTGTGTAATTAAGCTTAAAACTCGTTTTCTCCAGTTAGACAATCAATCATCTTCCTCATCACTATCGCTTTCTGAAGTGGTATCACTTTCACCTCCGTTTTTCTTCTTGTTTTCATTGTTTGCTGCTTGATTTGTAATAGGCTCATCACTGTTGTTGTTTGATTGTATCACATTGTCTCTTGCGCGAGGAGGAGTAGTCAAAGCTGCTTCGATATCTGTCGCATCTAAAACCACCGGCTCGCCAATAGCCTCATCAGACCCGACCCTCAATTTGGTTAAGCGAAAATGACCGTCTTTAACATCGTTGAGCCACTCATTTCGTGTCGCAGATTGCATCTTCTTGAATCCAACTTGCAGCTTTTCGTCGGTAAGTCTTGATCCTTCTGTAAGAACAATAGATATTGGTAACACCCTTTTTTTCGATTCGGCTGCAGGGTCAGCAGTCTGTGGGAAAGATTGTGGGGGAGTGTACCCTAAGGTTTTGTCTGACGGCCAATACAAGCAGAGCGTCAGATATGAAATAAGACAAAGTTAGTAAGGTATTGGAAAGTAACTTACGTGTAAGAGCTGCCAAGAGGCGTCCTAAATCCACCTTAATCTTGTCACTAGGCTGTTGTTTATCAGGACGTTGACGTTTTGGTTTGTTGTTAACCGAGGCAATGGCCTTCGCCATCGAGACACCTTGCGAGTATGTAGCAAAGACAGTTGCAAAGTGACAGGTTTTGTTGGCCCAAGTTCCTATTTGCGGGTGAGTCGTGTATTGCTTGAGCCATCCCAACTCGGAGGATTTGTTCGGGGTCACGGTGCTCGTCGCCACAAGGTAGTAGGCAAAATCTAAACGATTAGCTTCACATGAGAGCTAATTGATATAAGCGAAGTAAGTATTATGAAAATGAAATGAATATATCTAAATGTCACTTACCTGATGAGCAATCTTCTCGATAGCCGTCTTGGATTTGCGCTGAAGCTGAGCTGTTGAAGGACTGGTTGGAGGCTTGCCCAGTTCGTTGTCGACTTTGACCATATCAACTAACCGTTCATATATCGGCCGATAGAGCTCATCCTCTTCAACGGTCAGCTTGTGAACCTTTGGAATCGGGATAAAGGAGTCACCGCTGTGCTCCTGCTCTTCTGGATGATCGTCCACCACACATTCTCCAGTTTCGGGGTCCAACAACAGGTTAGGCACACCAGCCAATGCGTAAAAGTTAATGGGCTCAAAGACTGCTTTCTCATCGTCTGAGAGCGCTCGCCACCTGGCCCCGGTCTTCCAATTACGGTCACCCAGGAAATCTCCGCCTTCTTCTTGACCTCTCAGCGGCACTAACAATTTCAAACGAACAATAACAGGTCAGTCACTTGTATGTTAATTTCAAAATCAAGACCCCCACTTACTTGGTTCGGATAAGCAATCCAAACAGTACTGGAGGAAGATGGTATAACGGCTAATTGCTCTTGTTGCCGACATCTCGGGTCTGATAAGGAAGATGCAAAACAATCAATAACATGAAAAAAAGAAAATTCACAATACATATGAATACTTACATATAGGACTTGATGGTGGCTTCGCTCACTTTACCAATCATAGCCAGCATGAGAAGCTCGTTCTTGAATTGATTGTAGACCAATTTGACACGATCATGAATTTCAGATGGCAGACGATTTTGAGTCGAGGCCTTATGTTCTTCAAGATGTTCACGGATACGGCCAAGAGGCCACAATTTCATCATAGTCATGTAATTGTCAAGTGTTGGAAGGATTTCAGGTTGATTCGTAGTGTCGCCGAGTGTTTGATCGTCATTTGATCCGGCACCGGTAGACAGATCATTGGTAGAAGGTTCTTCGGGGTTGGTAGTGTTGTTACGGACTCGTTTAGATCGGTTAGTAGAGCGGGCAGCCTGTGGAGGTCTCTTGGACAAAGTAGCACGAGTTGAGGTGTTTGAATTAATGGGGCCTGGAGCCAAATCTTCTGCTTGGGTACGTTGATTGGAAGACTTGGAAGCGGCGGATACTCCTTTCTTCCGAGTGCGAGGAGCCATTCTGGATATTGTAATATGAAGAAGGAAGTCTAAATTTAATTAGGAATTTTTAGATAAGACTTTATAATGGAATTAGTAGGATATTTGAATTTGAAAACAAATTTTCGGAGAAGACTTTTAGAATGGAATTTTGACAAAGCGATGATTTGATTTGATTTGTTAAATTTGACAATCTTTGAGCTATACGAAACTAGTAAGTAGAAATTGAAGATTCGATGATTTGATAAAAAGGGAGATTTTGCAGCAATATGACACTAGATAGTTGCACAAAACTATTTCACTTGAAAAAAGGTAAAGGTTGATTTTTCACGATATAGTTGGTAAACTAGTAAGCCAAATATAACTTTTGAAGAGATGATTTGATTCAATTGATTAGGGAGAAATTTTGACTCTAATGGCATCCGGGTTAGTTAAAAAGGAAATTTTGAAGGAATCGATCATTCGATTTGAGACATTAGAGTATGTATGTATTCCAGAATAATCCAGCCAGGTAAGAAGAAAATCTGAAGAAGAAATCTGAAGAAGAAGGAGGAATTTGATTCGATGAGATAGGGAGTCTATCAAAGGTGCTAGAAATGATAAATTGAGATGATCGGTAAGAGTAGATGGAAGGGATTGAACTGACTGTCTGACTCTTGTTTGTGAAGTTTTCAATTATAGATCTTTATGGAAAGTTAGGAATCGGGATGATATCAATATTGATATATCAAAGGAAATAGTATCACATAACTTACGTCATTGAATTATACATATGAACATATGTTAAATGTTCATATGTATATATATACATACATATGAACTTATATGTAATTGTATACTCCACCTTCGACTTTCAGAGCAGGTAGGTTGTACCCAAAAAACAAAAAAATAAAACAAGGCATGAAGATGAGGTGCCATCAATTTTTGGCAATATCAAACTGTGCATCAAATTACCAGCTCTATCTACCCTGAGAAAAACCAGCCTCTGTTGCAGTTTTAAATAGTATCTTTGGTGAGTTTGGGGCAAGAGTGGGAAATGCTAAAGATTCAAAAAGTGGGCTCAACCAGTGAAGATGAAGAGCAATCAAATTTCTGGCTTAACAAACTAGCCATTTTTTTTTGTATTTCCATCCCCCACGCAGAAGACTAAGCATTATAGTCCTTTGATCTGGGTACTTTTTACAAATTTGAGTGTAGAATGTGATAACCAAATATGAGAAACATGATGTAAAGTGATGAAGATGAAGAGATAGATAACCAAATGCATAATGGAAATTGTTCAACTTGAAGTAAGGCAACTTCTATATTAATGGTATTTACCCAAAACTCTTCATATTCAAAGTGCTATAGTGGGATTGATGCTTGAGCAGTGATATTTGTACATATTTGAGGTGTACAATTGGAACATGAGCGTGCTGATGAACCTGTGTAAATACTTATACATACACCGGCAACATTTTTGCATGGCATGGTGGTATGCACCAACACGAAGCACTCAGACTTGTGATGTTGATTCACATTAGTGCTGTGTGATGTAATGATCATGTGATTTTAAGTCACTTTTTCCGGATGTGATCCAACATCGCATGTGAGTTTGGATGGCAAGGGTTCATGTGATTCAACTGTGCTGTGATTCCACATCACATGAATCCCTTGTGATGTATCTCTATGTGATGTAATGTCGCTGAGATCGAGATGCATCACTAGCCTCTGTGCCACTCAAACCTTTGTATCGCTTGTTGCACATGTGATGTAAAGCATTCATGGCAACCACAACAAGCGATGCAATATGAAATTTCAAAATGTGATCTATTTGACTGCAAAAAGATTTCAAGAATGAATGATCTGATGAAGTAATCAGATAAGAAAATTGTTTCACCCAAAAACATTGACCAACAACTGGATCAGATCAGAAAGCACAAGCATGTCTATGGTAATGCCCATGGTATCTGTCACCCACATCATCAAAGAGAAAAAGATCGAACACAGGAGAATGTGGAATGAAAAGGCGTCGTAAACAATATCAAAATCATCACAAGCACACTTGATCTTCTCCACTATACAAACAGTTAGGAATAAGAAACTGAAAGCATTCCAAATTAATTGTCCCAACTGTAGTTGTGGTTGAGCTTCCATCACGAGTAATTTACAGTGCAAGGCGTCCAGAATCACGTCGATGTCTTCCTTTGATAAAAATTTATTAGAAGCCAGGATAACAGAGGTCTGCTCAGCCTCAGTTCCAGCGCTTTCTTCTTCAGATTTTCTACAGGGTTTTTCTGGTGATGGATGGATCAGCTGGAAAGATAATATGTATATACTTAATCACAAGGGTTTGAGAAATGGATGCATACCTGACCTGACTAGTGAATGGCTATCTTTCGAGACTGTAACTTCAACCACAGTCGGGTCCATCCCCTTTTCTGATTTCCATGAAAGAGTTGGAAGAATCAATATTTGTTTCTCATAATGGTCGAAGATGCTGAAAACTCACTGTCTTCATGATTATTTATTGCCATCAGAGGTGAAGGTTATTAGATGAATGAAGGTTATCAGATTGATTTTGTTTTTGTTTTGTAAAAGCGTCGATTTAAAAGCTGTTATGGGTGCTAGATATGTTCAAACACACTATGACTTCAAATACCGGCCCTTTTGAGGCTGGAAAGATACCCAAATGATTACTGAGCCTATTTGCATACTCATCAAGCTGAATCGATCGCAATAAATATAGAATGAGCCTATTAAGACTCAACACTGTCTGAGTCTATGTTTTCAATCAAAAGATCGATCTCCTTAATGCTTTAGAGAAAGGTTGTCAGCTTGCTTGACAGAGAGCTCAGGCATCTGATACTTATTCTAACTCATTCCAAAGACACCGCTGGGCTATTTAGCTCATTTCCCTTGGTTATCTGATTTCAAATTCTGGTTGATCGGGGTTTTCCCGTTGTTCTTCACTCACAGGGTTCGCAAGAGTAAAGCCCTTTGTTGGGTCTGAGCTATCGAGTCCGAATGGGGCTCAACATGAATTGGAATCACACATTTGTTGAGCCTGAGGAGGCGATACCAATCACCTAGGCTGATATCCTCAGGTATCACCCCTTGTTTCTACTCGAAAGGCAAACAGCCAGCTCGGCCCATGTCCTGCTTCAGCTCCCAATATCAAGTATATATAGACAGCTGCCCAGATGTCAATTTATATCAAACCATCATTGGACTTCAACCTTATACAATATATCGCAGCGACATAAGCCCATCCAAGTTAGATCTTGTTTATCAATCATCGTCAGTCCAGCAATCAGTATACCATGTCGAATTCCTCAAAGAAAAATGCGCTTCAATGTGATTCATGCAAAATCGAGTACCCATACCTTGCAAGATCACCCACCTCTCTCAAGCCAATCCTTTGCAATCCTTGCAAGTGGAATCGGTCACATCCAGACTCCGTTGACACCCATGTACCCTGCAAGATGTGCAGCTGTCGGTTTTTGAAACTGCCGTCCAACGTTTGCGCTCGCTGCAAAAAGCGCTTGGCCTCTGTTGAAGCCAGTGAGACGGATGAAAGTGAGCATATTAGACCTTCCTAAGAAGTATCGCTGTCCATTGCGATATTGATTTTTCCAACTTGACGATCTCATTCTCAGACGACGAACAGGAAGAATTGATACCTGAAAATGACTTAGGAACCTCATTTGATTTGACGAGCCAAGTTGATAGTCTAGCAGATTCACTCGACTCACTGTTAATACAAGGAGAATGTGAGTCCTCAGCGCAATCAACATTTTAATACTATCAATGAGGAAAACTGAATAGGTTTTTTCTGTCTTAACCTCATTTAGCAAGGAACGCAGATCTCTTGGTTGACAGTGAAAGTTTGAAGTCCAACAAAATTAAACTGGAAATCCTGCCTCCTAGAACGCCTGCCATATGCTGGAAAGATGGAGACTTACTGATGCTCATGTTCCAGAAAGGTCGAAAGAATCCAATTTTCCAGCCTTATCCAGTTAGATTCCGAGTGGAAGACAACAACTTGATCGGTTGTGGTAGATTCATGAGGTGCTACAAGGCTGAAATCAAAATCAAGCACAAGGTCCATCAGGTTGTTGCAAAGAAATCGGATTCTAAAGATGCATCTTTGTTATATTACCTGGAACAGGCTGAACTATACTTACTTGCAAGCCATGCTGTACAGAACTTCAAGAACACCATTCTCGAAAGCAGGAAGTTTGGAAATTTAGAGAGAGAACTAGTGGCTCAATTGCGCGTGAGTCGTAGCAAATGCATGCATTCATTCCTAGAGTTTACTTCTCACACAATTTTTATGTGACAATACAGTTTGTAGATCACTTTGTCGTTCAATCTGGAAAGGAAGTGTGGTACTTTGAGGAGGAATTGATCGGGAAGTATGAGAAATATGTTGGAAATGTGGATTTCACTGTGAAAGACTCAAGTAATGAACTTCATCTAATGCTCCATACACTGTCTCATTGGCATCTTCATCAACACAAAGGGCGTTCAATGCTGTGCGACTTTCAAGGGGTTGGTGCGACACTGACGGACCCAGTAATGATTGGTCTTGAGCAAGTGTCTCTGTTTCTCATCTGGAATCTTTCTAAAGCTAATCAATTGTTTTTGACAGCAAAACCTGGGGCAGTGGAAATACTAATTTTGACGGGCTCAGATCTTTCATCAAGATGCACAAATGTAGTCACTGGTGTGACAAGCTTGGTCTTTCCCCGCCTTCGATGTGGAAGGATGAACTCAAAAAGATGTGCAAAGAATCGTAGGCTAGTTTGTTAAAATATTTGGGCTATAAGTTGATCTTGCAGTAATAACACATTTGACCATTCAACTTGGATTTCAATTCATATATAATGATCACTATAATTTTGTTCCCTCACACATTTGACATTCTTTGAAAGACTTTGAGCACGGCTTGAACACAGCATATAAGTAATAGTACACACTAAAAAGGATATGAAACAGTTCCTTATCATCTTCACCAGACAAGTTATGACCAATTCACGTAGGGGAGAATTATACGAGGAAAGGCGATTGTTGAGTCTACATCATTTGGGCTGAATTATTTGTCAGACTACTACTTTCATTGATTGTGTTGTTGGAACATCTCGACAACCTCAAACCTCTTTTCCGTGAACCCTGACCCGGTATAAACATGTGTATTCGGCGTTCCCATGATTGGATAATATTTTCAAAAGGACCTTTCGGTAAGCTGGCCAGGAAATACCTTCTTTGGCCTCAAATGTTTGTATAGTTGAAGAGCTAGTGATCTCGTAGACCCCTTGGATAAGCAATAGGCCGGCATTATCTTGTTCCTCTTCTGGTAACCCCCAAAGGGCAAACTCCTTTGGCGCCGAGGTTATGTCTTTCTGCGCCATTTTTGCACCAATATGCTCGATTGTGATTGCTTCGACTACAATTTGATGACTCAAGCCAATTCCAATCTGACCAACCACGCCAGGAAATGCCCAGCAGGCACCAATCGATGCGTCACCACGTAGTGCCATCTCAGGCCCAACTGAATTTGAGGCTGCTTTGGAGAAGCCAGCCCAAACCCTAATTGTATCGGGCTTCACAGAGCTTGATGTTAGATTCGAGATAATATAACCTCCGGTTTTCCACAAGGCGAAATCGCGGCGCCAGTTTCTGTCCTTCGTCCATTGTTTCATGCATTCTTCCGCCATGAACTTCACATCCTTGGCGGTTTTGATGAAGCTTGCGATGTCTCCCTGCCCCCATCTCGCGTGATAGTGGTTGGTATCCATTTCACCTTGCCAGACAAGGTCATCCTCCGCAAACGTGTTAAGTATAAGCATCTTATAGCTCTGTTCAACCCATTGAACCCGGCTCTCTATGACATCCGATCTTTGATCGATCTGTTGCAACTGAACAAAACTTTCTGTCGATAGGTTGATGTCAGCATGGTCCTAGTATCCATTGAAGACATTGACTAAGCAGTTTACACACTCAATGCTACTGCAAGGGCTGCAACAGCTACGATAGTGGCTGTGTGCTTCGTAAGATGGTATATCGCGCGTCGGACTGCCAGACCCACTCGCCGGCCAAAGCTGCTTTGGTTGTTCATGCGATAGTTGTCGAATTGGGTGCCAAAGGCGTTTCGGACTTGAAGACAAGCTGGGGGAGCTTCTATGACGATGTGAAAAGATCGATGAGTGCTTAATCATTTGATTTTCATGTGTTGTTTGTAGTGATTGGAATGCTTACGCTTGACTTTGAAAGGTTATCAAAGCGAACTCACTCCTGGAGGTCTCCCGTGTTCAAAGTGAGTGTTGGTGTGAATTGCTTCAAATCGATTACGCGTAGGGGTTGCGTCTCGGGTTTCGGGGTTTTCCTTCACCCTTCTTTCATCGATCCTATCAAATGAATACAAACATATACAAACAGTAAGAGACACCTCCTTGTTACAAACCAAACCCAACAAACTGGGACGCGGAAATCAGAAGAAACAATGCCAGCAATAAGATTGATACTCCAGGGTAAACAGAGCAAAGTGAACCCAAGCATGATGCATACCACGACATGGTCATCAAAGTTGCAAAACATCATTCTCCCGACAAAGACCCATCATCGGTAGAACTTGGATAATAAAAGATATTCCTTGCAGCAAACATGATAACAAACAAGACTTGAGAGATGAGTAACTTAAAAACCAAAAACAAATTGTTAGAACCCTTGTAGAGTCCAATCACTCTTCAATGAGAACTCTGTTGTCGTGGCGACTTTGTGTAGCTATGGGTTGAATGGATGTTTGGCAAATAATGAGATAAGAAACAACAGAACAATCGGATGAGAAAAATTTTGGCAAAAGAGAAAGTGGAGAAGAAACTAGACAGACAACTATATAAACCACATTTTAAAGAGCCATGCATGATGTACAATCTTCATTAAACTAGATCAATCATGAAACCTACGAGCTTTTACTTGACCATTGTGACTGGCATGTCAGGTAGTAATTTTTTTCATATCTCAGACATGCAACGTCTCACTCAAACTCAGTGTTTCCCGAGTTGACTGAGTCCAAGTTTGACAAATGATGGCCCCGGTTGTCGACAACCGTGACCATCCAATTCCGTCGGAAGTCCAAATAGGTCCAAATGCTAGCTCCTTGAGGAAGATTTCACAAGTGTAGGGTCACACATGTAGCCAAGATTGTGGCTTAGGCTCTAATGATGCACATGGTCGAGCATAAGTGGTATAATGATCTTCGGCGTATCATGAAAGATGATGCATCTGGGTCTTTAGTCACGCAACACAGATATGAGATAAAAGCGCAAACGCAAAAAAGGATCAACTACAATCCAATACATCATTTTTACTGAATAGATTAGTTTCAAGATCGCTTGGCACAAAGTGTGGTAAAGATGATTACAAGATCTTAGAAATTGAAGATCGGATACATCTTTCAACAAGAGTACCACAAGAATCGAGGATGAAATGAAGAAATGAAATTACATATCAAATGTATGTTCCGGTGTTTACTTTGTAGTTTCTACACTTGGGAATATGAATTTCCGTCATTTTACGTGAGATACAGTAGTCTGCGAAATCGAGGAAGAGAGCCTTGGCCAGATGGTATCGGTTCAATTCTTGCGGTACCCACTTGTCCGTCGCTTGAGTGATAGATTCCAAAAAACTGACTATGTATGATTGAGTCCTCCTCCACATTGGCTCGGAGATTGATTGATCACATTGGGCAAGGTGGCTTGTCACTAGTAGCAAATTTATGGCGCGTAAAGGACTATATACTCGAATATCCGTAGGGTAGATCATCAACCCCTTGACACCACAACAGAGAAAGGCGACTAGGGCTGGTATGTTAGTATACTCTACTTTGATTTCACTGTAAGCTTCTTGAAGCCGTTCCAAGCCTACAGTCAACCTGACTACTTCTTCGGCAGATTGTTGTCTTCCCATGAGAAGGTTTTGGGTTGCTTCGATGTCAGTCTTCAGAGAAGTAGATGCCCATATACTGGCAAATGTCTCCACCATTGTGTAGATAGTCGCAATTAGTTTGTCAAGATCTTCAATGCACCCGTCAACAGCTGCTTCACTACGCTTCGCCCCGAGTTTGGCCCAACGGAGGGAGGAAAGCGTTTTGTAGTGTTGCCAGCACGAAAGCGCGGTACGAGCTCCATGGGATATCGGTGAGACGTCGGGAATCTTGGATGAGTGATGTGGCTGTTCGGCATCCAAGCCAATTAAGACAAGCGCCGCCAATACATAGTGCATTCCACGTTCAACAAGAGTGGCACTAGGCACACGAAAATTCTTGAGTGTATTCCAAAGAAAGCGCTCGTGTCTAGAGCTCGACTCCGGAGGTTCGGAATTCGCAATGGCGTCAAAATTGAAGACTTCGGGCTTATACCAGATCGTTTCCAGACCTGGAGTGAAAAGCTCTCGATCTAAAGTATCATACGGGTAGTTAGTATTGAAATATGGTAGGTGTTTCGCGGAAAGGACCCACTTTCTGGTTTTTCACACCATGACCGGATACCAGGTTGGCCCAAGCTGCTGAAAGTAACAGGCCGTGACAGCGATTCGTTAGGATTGAATTCAGTACATGATCCTCGGATCAAGGTCTCTAATAAAACTCGTGTTGCCCTATGGATTTCGGGGAGTTCAGTGGACTGAGGGTTATTCTTTTCGACTGATATGCTCTTGTATATGTCAATTTTCTTCACCCAAAAAGGGCTGGTAGCGATTGGTTGCGGTTGCGAGGAGGCTATCAATTGGTTGGATGATATTTCCTGGACGGCGGATGAAGAAGAAGAGTTGCCTAACGCTTGCAGGCTTTCGCGGGAAAGGTTGGATGGGGTAGGTTCTTTTGACTGATCAAATGTGGGAGAAGCATTGCCAGTGGTTGTGACCGGTGGTGAAGAATCTGTGGCAGTTGATTTGCATATCAAAGAAGGAAATATGAGTTATGAGGTATTGGCATCCTCCATGAAAATCAGGAAAATATGACATCACCTGATACTATCGAGTTTATTCATGAAAGATGGGTTCTTTGACCCTTCGATCAAAAGTTGTGGACTGGAAGCTTCATCTTGAGATGTGGGTGCGGTTTCTGACGTCTTAGTTGGCGATGATGTCAATTCAATGGGGGGTTCATCTCGAGATCTGGTGGTGTTGCGGTCTTTTGGAGTTTCTGATTGGGACCCAAGTAGAGATGGCGTCTCTCGCAGGGTGGATTCTGTGACTACGTTCGGTGGCGATGATGTAGATCCAATGGGGGGTTCGACTCGAGATTTGGGTATGTTGACGCCTTGTGAAGAGTCTGAGGTAGTTGATTGACCTTTCGAAGAAAGCCATGTTAGCTCTGTGAGTATGGCATCCTTCAACAAAACGAAGAAAACATACCATTATCTGATACAATTGTTCGAAGTGAGGATGAGGTCGCAAGATTGTCCGGCTGAAGCAAAGCACTGGTGAGACAATCACGTAACTCTACCAGTTTACCTGACACCACACCCTCGCATGTGTCGTCCCAGCCAGTATACTCGCGTGCGTCGAGAATCCAGTCCACGATGCCAAGTACCCCGTATTTGCCACGTCGTAAGTCGCCCCGACTCAGTATATCCGCCCCCACGACGTTCAGAAACTCGCTATCAATTTTCTCCCATAATTCTCCTACCTCGTAATCATCAGGGCTGGGAAAGTGACATGGGAATCGTATCCGCGTAGCTATGTAGTCTGAGGGGATACCAACGGCAATGGACGAGGGAAGAGGATCGAGGCGAAAGATTTCCTGAATGACTTCATCCATGTCGCTTGGGATCGGTCGCGTGCGGGATTGAGGAGGATTCTCGTCTGGTTCTGGCGTGTGGGAGTGTGAAGAAGACACAGATGGGTCTCCAGATGGTTTCTTCCCTTTGTTCCGTCTGTCAAAGCGAAGGCGGGTTTGGGAAGCCATATTTGAAGCCTTGGTAGTAACGGCAGAGAGACGCGAGGAGCGGCGCGGCAGTTTAACAGTTTGTTCCTCCTGTTCGGGGGTCCTCGAGCGCTTTCCATTGTGATTGATGGAGTGATCGCTATCGCTAGTGGGTCCGGTGGCGGCAGCCGCGCCATCGATGGATCCTGGGGGTTCCTTGAGCGAGGAAGTTGGGTTCGAAGGGGGAGCGTGAAGAAGTTCCGGCGATAGCATCCCCTTCTGGATTCCTGTTCACAAACATGAGTAGTAAGTATCACAATGGTTACTGTAGGCCGATTGGGCGATCAAAAGCGATTAAACGTACCCTGATACTCCACTTCGACAATCCTCCAAACAATTCTCAAGGCTACATTCAATTCGTGGGTCATGTCCATGAGCTGGAGCCACTCTTCCACCATTTCCCCGATCAGATCTAGGTCGCGTGAATATGATCGGAGTCGAAGGGGCAGATCATCGGAAGCGTCCTTCGTCATGCTGGTGATGCGGTGCGATATTTCGTTGACGGTAATCAAATTTGATGGACAGGTGTTGGTAAGAGTGGATATGGAGCGATGGAGGATGAAAACTGGGAAGTAAAGATCATGTGAGCAACGGAATTGATAAAATGAGAGAGTAATTGGGAAAGTTGAAAAGTGCGATCTTCGAGTTTGAGGGAAAAACCAGCAATGCGACGCATTGTACGAGACTAGTTGTGAGAGAGGAAGGAATGGCAGGAGGCCAATGATGAGGAGAGTACACTCACCCAAAGGGTCTTCTCGAAAGCGCCTAGGAAATGCCTAGAATTGGAGAAGCTTCCAAAAAAGTGAGTTAGCGATAAACCATTAGTAATCAATCCAGATGAACAGCAAATGATAGAAGTGTAACTCACAAGAGAAGTAGTAGCGTCTCAGAGTTGTTCAAGAAGTTGAGATATTCAACAAGCACAATAGCAAAGAACGCGAGTGATTGATCGAGACAAAGCAAAGGAATGCGTATTAGACGGAGGAATTGGAATCGGCTGCAAATGATAATTGAGCAAGGTGGAGAAGAGGATTTGGGCGGTTGATTGAGGAAGGGATTGAAATAGTAAAAGTGGCGGTACAGGCAATGGGAGATGAGGACAGGAAACTGAATGAGCAAGGCTGAGTAGCTGAGGAAATATTACTGTGAGCCTCCCAAGGTTGGTGAAAGAGTAGCGTGAGAAGAAGTTAGAAGGATGAGGAAGGATGAAAATGATCGGCTCTGAGTCTGATGTTGAAGTGATCTCGAACAGTAAACCGCAGTGATATGTAAACAAATCACGTGAAGCAGTGGTTGCGATTGTCGACAACCGTGACGTCCCCGACGGTTCACACGGATGTCGCTGTCGGTGCTTCATGATATCTGAACACCATGTGACACCTCTCAACTGGAAGATCACGGACTAGCACGGACTCACCTTAATTCATGGTCATTCGAAAAGGCGCTAAGAACATCTACCGATTTCCTCGAAAAGGCAAACTTTTCGTCGCAAACGTGTTCGAATCTATTTCCGAAGCGAAACCTTCAAATTCTAACATTGATTGGCACATCATACTAGGCCATCCGTCGGATGTTTGCCTCAATATGTCTCTTGAGATGAATAACATCAAGCACACAAATTTCAATTCAATGTAGAAGTGTGAATTCTTTCTTGAACCGCCATTTCATATTCAAACCCTTTACCGAAGTCGAGTAAGCCATTCGAGCGACTCCACTTTGATGTCCTACAAATATCTGTACCGCGCAAGTCACGTAAAAACCACATTACAGTTATCATTGATGATTTCTCTGGCTTCCTACCAAAACGCTGAAATCCAAATCGCCGATAAATGTCTCAAAGTCAGCAAAAGTAACCATCGAGCCAATTCGAGATCTTCTTAAAATTCTTCCTTTCGGTATCAAAACGTACGTCAAGGTACATCTCATGGAGAAATTTAACAGCCGGGATTCCGCTTCACTCTTGGTCGTGAACCGTATTCCTAATGCTGGTTTTTTTTTTGATAGACAATCACGTAGCATCGTCATAACTCGCGAACATTACCGAAAGAATTTGTACCTCTCGACTGCTGTTCTTCCTCCACCATCCAAGCCAAAATCTAGATCAATTAGGAGGATTTCCAAGCGTGCTCATCGGACCCTGTTAATAATCTTAACAACTCTGGAGATGACCCGGAGCAGGTGTTAAATGAAGACCGCAGCTCAAAGCAACTACCCAAAGGATATACCATGGCTACGGTACCTTCAGTGGCGTCGAAGGATATCAACTCTAACCAGAAGGATATACCATGGCTACGGTGCCTTCAGTAGCGTCGAAGGATATCAACTCTAACCAGAGGAGATGAGAAAGCATATGAATCTTGACATCAAAAATCTACTGGAATGCTAACTCATCTCTCATTATGTTCACGCCCTTATAGCACCTCTACAACAAATCCCCTATCACAATTTTCTCCAAATCCGAATCTATCAATTTATCCCACCGGTCCGCTATTTGAAATGTTCTGCGCTATTCAAATGGAGCCAGAACACTGAGATTACATTATGAAAAATCAATGACGGAAGACAACGCAATCACTGGTTGGGCCGATACGTCTCAAAACACCTTTTCTTACACTCTCACCGCGATACTTATGAGTGTAGATTTTTATCAAGGTACTCGTGATTTCTTATATTATATTTATCATGTTTGTTTTCTCCTGTTATACTTCTACTAGCATTCTTGATAAAGTTGTGCTTTGAAATAAAATACTTTGTGATAATTTTTTGCTGCAACAAAGGTTGACCTAAATTCACTACAACATGCGACGACAGGTAGATAAACCCTCTTGAGTTGAAGCCTTCCCACTTGTTCATGCAGGTAGAATTTCTTTTGGTAATGTTTCAGGTTGTACAAACCTACTGAATCTTCAGCAGTCATTCTTTCCGCAATATCTAAAGCTACGTCGGAATCGAAGTCGCCGCATACAACTTCGGAGGATGCACAACTATCATCATCCGTCTCTAATAATGATCGTCGCAAAGGTGGTGATGTAATCACATCACATCCAGACGATGAAAGACAAGAAGCAGTCGTTCCGAAGCCTCTACCTAAAGGTTACGCTATGGCACCGGTGACGTCGGCGGCACCAAAAGACATCAGCTCAAAAATCGACCCAGCCAACGTCATACTCGATGATGGTGGAAGGGTGACCAGGTCTCGTTGAAATCTTCTGGAAACAGCAAATGTTGGTCAAATCAATCTCAGCGAAATGGTGATGATTGAGAAAGCTTTGTCGGATTATCGGGAAATAGATAAGTGGATAGCCGCGACGCAAGAAGAATTTGATTATCTTACCGCACGAGGTACCGGTGAACTTGTCATACCACCAAAGGGCGAAAACATCATTGGAGGCATGTGGCGACTCACGAAGAAACTGAATGACTTTGGAGAAGTTGGAAGATATAAAGCAAGATGGGTCGCACTTTGAAATCGTCAAGATCACATGGTTCACTATTTTGACACCTAGGCATCGGTGGCAGAATATGAAATCAAATTGAAAGAAAAACCAACACGTCATCTTGGCTATACGCTGGACTGGAAGGAGGATGGATCTGTTATTTCACATCAAGCTGAGTTCTGTAACAAGGTACTCACCGAGCTTTATATGGAAAAATCAATTCCAGTCAAGACTCCTGCGCCTCAAGATTTACATACTATTGTGGCTAGGGAAGATGAGAAGGCTGACAAACCGCTATATCAAAAAGCCACCGGGATGCCAACTCATCTATCATTACACTCACGGCCTGATATTACTTCTGCAACAGATCTTCTCTCTCAATTCTCCTCAAAACCAAATTTATCTCACTGGTCAGCAATCAGAAATGTCTTGCGGTATTTAGATGGCACCAGGACATTAGATTTACATTACGAAAGGCTAAGACGGAAGATAACTCAATCACTGGAGGGGTGGATGCTGACTACGCAACATCTTTAGTAACCAAGAAATCAACCTCCGGCTATGCTATTTTGTGCGCGTATTCCACCTAGCCCAAAAACATAATGATAAGTATCATTCTTTGAGAGCAAAATCATGAGACTCACAATTGATTCCGTCATTGTCATTAGGCGGTGGGAGGATTCGATAAGGAATCTCGAATTCTAAATTCAATTTTCTCTGGAGAAATCTTGAATTTTACGGACGTCACGATTTCCAGACAATAGTGTCTGGAAATCGTAGTTCATAAAATTCTAGGGCCCCGTTTTGTATTACGTCCGAACATAAGCTCACACTGAAGAAAGACTGTACATCAAAAGCCGCAAAGGAAAGAAGAAGCGCCACCGGAAGGTCTCAACAACAAATTGAAAAATAAGGGTAAGAGACACAATAATATATCAACTGAAGACCTGAAACATTGGAACAAAAGAAATTACAAACAAAAAACAAATTTTCAGCAGAAGAGGGTGAACAAACCGCATGTGAGTGGCCAGTCCCAAGTCACTACGCTTTTTGGGTCTCAGAGTGTCCGGTACCAAGGCCATTTGTCATGATAGTCTGCATTTGTGCAGACATGAGGATAGTTAGAAGTACTGGTAGGTCTCTTACTTTATGACAAAACCATGCTATGCGTTGAAATTGTTGGCAGACAGATACACGTTAGATATCTACAGTGACGGTAAAAGCGGACCTTCCCCATTGCGAGCCGAACAGGACCAACGTACCACTATTGCTTCAGCTTTTCCCATCAACTTTACAATTATCTTCGACTTTGGTTTGAATTAATAGTGTGCTTGTAATAATCGGGTTCATTAACATTCGGCGATACTGTGGCGGGCGCGCCCGCCTGATCTGCTATCCAGGTCTCTTGTGATATGCTCTGATATAGTTGTGGATATCATCATATGCGAAGAATTGAAGCTCGGTGATTCACGAGTTGAGTGTGGCAAACGTGGAAAAAGTGATATCGATTTCCGACAACCGTGATCACATCGGTGAAGTATGAATCCGCTTGCGCTCTTTCTCGTTTGAGTCAGATTCTTTGTGAGAGAATATGGGACACTAACAAAACTCAGGCTGTGGTGTCAGGTAGTCTAGCACTGGCGCTGTAATCCGCCTTGTGGGATTGTATGAGACATCAAAAGCTATGGGCTCATGTACAAAAATGTGGAGAGGAGGTTGTATTAAGCACATGAATTTCCGATAGATCATGATAGACTATGAATACAAAGTTTTTTGTCTACATTCGGGCTCACGCATCCGCCGTGAAATCCTCGGTGATTTCTGGAATTGGTTTGCTCCTCGTCATACTGGGGATGTTGTGACGATGAAGTAGCTCAGTGTGTAGCGCATGCAGAGCAAGAATCCACTGGATCGATGTGCCTTGTTTTGGTTTATTGGAGATCGTCCAACGACTGGAGATAGTATCCTGGAGATGTGGGTCATCAGGAAACAGAGAGTGCTCGAATCTTATGATGGAGAATGACTTACCAGCCAAGACTGTGAATTGTCGTGGTACATTTGCAGCACAAGCCTACTCTTTTCAAGATATCCTCTGACTTCTCTCGTATATTGAATCATTGATGTGACCATCTTCAACAAAGGCTCTATTGCTTCGTAATGTTGTCCTTCAAAAATTCGAAGGACAAATGAGCGATTGAGGTGGTTTCTCAACCAACGGTCCATGCTCAATAGATCCTGTTGAACCATCTCGTTGGTCAAGTGGGTCTTTTGAATTAAATCGATGGTACTTTGAGCAAGGTTGGACAGATGAATGAAAGTTTCGTGCTGATGATCGAACATGCTCTTGATGAATTGATCGGTGTTGTCCACCGCTTCGAAGTTCTTGTACCAAGAAAACTATATTCAGAGTCAGTGTTACCATATGTTGATTGCTACAGGGGTGGAATTGCCCACCTCCTCCATGAGAACACGAATTTCAGTAGCGCCTCTTCCATCCAGGTGGCGCAGAGAGTCGTACACACGCTTCAACAAAACAGCAAGATCTCGTAGGTGTGTCGCAGTGACATTTGAGTTTTGCACGTTTATCTGTCTGTCTAGAATGTTGGGAACGTCCGCTGAACCGAATGCATCGGATGGTGGAAGAGTTGCATGATCTCGAAGGTCTTCGATCGAATCAAGAATTTTGATGGAAATGTAGTTTTTGTGAAGATCCGCACCCGAAGCTTCGAAGGCAACTGCTTTCAGCTGGGATCGCGCATCATATACCGTTTCCGCGACTGCAAAGGAATCCATTGGTGTACTGGCCGAGTAGCCAAGATTAGTAAGCCACAATTTGATGGTGATGATTAATTAAAACAGTGAAAAACCGGGTCACCTCGTTTGCTGTATTCTCCACCAGACCAAGCATACAATGGCCGCCGCTGAACAGACAAGCCATTTGTACCATGGCTTAAGACGAATCCTTGTTCGGTTGACTTGAATATGTCGATTTTCAGAGACAACGGGTTTAAATTGAACGCGGGATTCTGCAAGTACGTTGCTGAGTGGGGCGTCGCCGGCTTCTTGTAGACAGTTTGCTTCCGGTTCAGACAAGTTTCTAAATTCCGACTGAAAATTCAAGAACGCTTCATTGAGTGGAGACATGATGTTGATGGGGAATACTGATTGTGGCTGATTGTGCTAGGAAGATGTGTGGCACTCGATATCAACTTGATTTAAGAAACTTCTGCTAACTCTGAGCCGCCGGTCTATGTCTCAAATATGAGCAACGGGAGAACTTACCTTTATTTGATCTGACACAAAGGCAATGGGTACAAAAAACGCAGAAAGGGAGGGCTTAGACTTTGGACTCAGTATCACTGAGTTCAGCACTTCGAAGCTCCTTTGATGCGTTGAATTTGCTGATACTGATTCCTCTCTGTTCTTCAGCTGTGCTCAAGGAGAGTATTCAGCGTGCACAGTGGGTACGTGTTCAAGTCTTTCAATCTGAAGACCCAAAGTGACATGATACTGCTACTTCATGCCAAAGTCCGATAGCGTAGTCACTTCATCTCACCAGTTACATGCTTAGTTTCACTGAGTTCAGGGTGGCTCCTTTGGTGCGTTGAACTCGCTGATGAAGCCTCCTTCTCTGTTCTTCAGCTGTGCTCAACAAGAGTATTCAGCGTGCACAGTGGATACGCATATTCAAGTCTTTGAATCTGAAGGCTTAAAGTGAAATGGTATTGCGAATTCATGCCAAAGTCCATGTGCTACATAGTGACTTCGTCTCGCCAGTTAATCGATTTAACTTCTTAGAAAAACATGTTACTGACTTCTCAGAAAATCAACTCAGAAACTGAAGATCAGAGTCAAAGGCCCGTCCGCCGAAAGTTCGACTCCTCAAGTGATGCGGAAGTTGATGTTCAGAAGGTGGAGATTGTTGAAGAAAAAACTTTCACCTCAAACAAAGCCTGCAGACGTCCCCATATTGTTAGTCATTCCAAGCTATATTGACCTCTCAGTATGTTTAACCCCACTGACCTGATGCTGGCGACGGTCGACCGAATCAGCAATCCAGGATTCGAGACACGCGATCCGGATGTAGTCTTCGGTTTGTACAGTGGGAAGAGGCATGTCAGGCTCTTGAAATGAGGGATTTCTGCTTGGCTTCTAAGATTTATGAAGAGATTTTGAAATTCCACGAAGCAGATTCATCAGCAAAGAACGGGTTTGAGGATTCCTTCACCGTACAAACCTGTTTAAACCTCATTGAGTGCTACTTGCAGCTAGAACGTCCAAAGGAAGCTGAATATCTCTTATCACAGCTTTGGCATCCAGATGGAGCGTATACAATAGGTGCTACCCATCCACTCTTCTTGCAGACGTCATGTTTGTACACTAGATCTCAGGTGCACCTCAAGGGATATTCGACCACAGAAGAAAAAGTGGGTCTATCTTCTCTCTGGTTTTCCACCATGCCCTTGGTAAAAAAATACTGATCATATACAGGGCTTCAATCCCAGGGCAAAGAAATTAACAATCAAGAAGAGCAGAATCTTGTCATATCACTTGAGGTCTTTTACATGTATGGCTATCAGTACGTCAAAAAAGGCCTCTTGGAACAGGCTGCTGGAGTTTACACGCAAGGCATGAAGTACCTTGGCCAATCTACGAAAGTCCTTGACGAGAGATCAAAGGAAGTAGCTGTACGGATACAGCTGGCTCTCTCAGAAACCTTCATAGCCATGGATCGACTTGCGGAAGCCTCCCAACTTTTGGAAGAAGTTTGGTTGCCTGAAAAGCCCCTTTCAATCGAGCGACACCATAAACATTTTCTTTGGCTGGCAAAAATTCATGCGCACCTTCGAAATCCAGGGGTGTATCACCCTGATACAGCTGAACCACCTGCCAAACATTTCTCCTTGTATCAGGTGAGGCCACTCTGATGCTAATACTATGATACACTACACCACTTTGACTCAATTTTCCTATCTATGTAGCGACTTGGAGTAAGTCACACCGCAACGAAAGAAGAGATTAGGAAAGCATATTTGGGGTGGACCCTCTGGTTCCATCCAGACAAGGGCGGTGACACGGGTGTGATGCAAGAGGTAGGGCCTTGCAACTCCGTCTTCCGAATGTGCATATTGCAGCTGACGATCAACTCAAATATATAGCTCTTGCAAGCTTATCAAACATTGGTACACGAAGGAAAGCGATCCAAGTATGATCATTCTTTAAAGGGAAATTATATGGGATAGCTGCTCATTGTAAGAATTTGAAACGGATCCTGGAGGAAAGTAAACGAAAAAAGATTGTAACTAATAGAGAACAAATATGAGTGACACAAATGATACAATTTGTGATGGAGGAATCCATATTAGTACCCAGTAGAAACTCGACATGTATGCGAACTGGGTGGAAGTAGAAGAATGATAAGTATGTGTACTCTGCCCCAACTGCCCCAAATCAAAATATATTCATGAAGATAAATACAGGTGATCTCGCCTAATGTATGTAAAGGGAAATGGGTCTGAGAACATGAAAGCACCTGGCTCGTGTATTCTGATAGTACTCCTCCTGAGTCTAATCAGTTCTCAACAAGAACTCTGGTTCTCGATATGAACTCTGTCGTGATGGTGACTTTCTAAGGCTAAGTGGTAAATGGATGTCTAACGCATAATAAGACGAATGATAAGACATGTGAGTGATGTCATGAAATGGAAGCAAATTTCTCTTTTCGAGAGGGAGACAAAGTACACGGTCTGACATAAAAAAACTGGTCATGAATGAAAGCTCATACTTGAATAATGAATTCTTGGATGTGTATGTTATGGTATCTCGTCCCTTCCGTCAATTCAGTCTGAAAGGCATTCTGACAAAAGTGAGTTGGTTCTCAGGCTACCGTATATCAAGTGTGTTTAGTCATGGAATGAGCCGCTGTGTCAGCAGCAGGAAAATCATTCGGCGAGAGAGGGAGTGGATATCATTAAACATTTAAGGGATGAGGGCTCATTCTTCCACGACTTGTTGTCCCCCCTCCGATCGCAAGGTATGCTCGAGCATATCATCAAACGTGTGTTGAAGTTTTATAAGGGCAGCTTTGATTTCGGTAGCATCAGCATCGTCCATGTAGCGCGTGGTAGGCTGCTTAGGGGTCGGGTTTGTATCTTTCATCGATGGCATTAATTTCGCTTCAATATACTACAAAATGCCAAATATAAGTCCGGTAACATTGTTGTTTCAATGGAGACGAAACACATACCTTGCGTAGTTCGTCCATTTGTTTTGTAGACAACTCTGGCGGTGAGTGTTCGTGTGTGAATCGACTGTCAAGTCTTTGAACTTGTTCCTGGAGCTGGCATTCAAGGTGAAACATGAGTTGATATTAGTATCAGAACTACGAGTGAATATCAATTCCTGATGCCCTCACCTCCTTTACCTGACGCTCAAGATCAAGCATCTTGGCTTGATCAACCTTGAGAGTCGTGAGCTAGATTTTTTGAAGACACAGGTTTGAAGGTATGAGTACGCTCGCCAGGATATACATGAAATTCTAACGCCCTCACCTCCTTTACCTGAAGGTCAAGATCAAGCAACTTGCTCTGATCACTTTTCAGAGTCGCGAGCTAGAATTTTGGAAGACAGGGGTTAGAAGGTATAAACGCGCTTGCCAGGATAGACATGTAAATTGACACTCACTTCTTCATTTACACGGTCAATGTGGGGGCCGAGCTCCTTACGAACCTCCCGTGTAATCTTTCGGGCAGATATGTTGGATGGACTCTCCTTATCCTCGGCAAGTTTGCTTTCGAGAACGGATCGAGCTAATTCAAACTGAAAGGGGAGTTCAATTCATCAAGATATATAGCCACTAATATCGCGTAAACTCACCTCTTCTGCTTGGTCAATACATTCTTCTACATCATCTATGAGATCATCAACCTTAGTTTGAAGATGATCCAGTTGCGCTTGCATTTTCGAAGACGGTGAAGATAAACGTGGTCGATTTGCTTTGGGTACATCTATCCCAGTTTGATGGCTGGTGGATGGGCGTTTTCGAGATGTGGAAAGACTGGCCTCAGGCTTTGGAGATACAGGCTCAGATTTTATAGAAGGGGAAGGCTTCTGAGAATGGTCGCCTTTGGGGCTAGATTTTCTTGATCTTGTCTGCATTGGCGGCCGAATTCTTCGATTTCGGAGTGACAGCGTAAAGTATCCGGTGAACAAGTAGAAACCTGAGAGTCGAAGGAGGATTAATAAGATGCCAAGTTCATGTTACAGTTGAATTACCTACGGTACGAATCCCCACTTTCTCTTCCTTTGTCTGTGGTCAAATTTTTCAACCAGGCCGGGAGAATGTCTAAGAAGAGCTGGTGTGTGAGACATCCCCACTTGCAAGACAATTGATTGGACCCGGGTGGCCGAGGCGACTGCACAAGGAAATCTGAGATGAGGGGCTGTTCTTTTAATTTCTTACGTACCATACATACAATGTTGACTCGAAACTCGGTCGCCTTGGGGAAGTATTGATGAATAAGATTGAAATGTGCTTTCGGTTGTCGACAAACGTGACCTCCCCGCCGGACCACATGCGGTCAGATATGTATCAAGTATTCATAAAGGGATCGATGAATTTTATAGACTACCCTTTACAGACATTAATGTCTGTAAAACATGAGTCTCTGTAAAAATACATTTTCCCCGGGCCAATGTTGAAATTTACAGCACTTCTTCGAAATCCTAATGTATGTAAACAAAGTAAGGCCAAAGCAAAATCGGAGGTAGCTGAAAAGGAGGTGACTTCAGAGTCAAAACCCGGTGAGTCAGGGTTACGAGCTTGTGCCAATTGATCCCGCTAAGAATGAAGTCAAGACGGAAGTCATTAGCCCAGAATCTGCGGTTAGTGGTACTGTAAGGAAGTCAAAGCGTAGGAAAGCTTAAAGGTTACATGATCAAGTTTTATGATTCCATTCCCTTGCTTCGGGGATATATACAAACTCAACTAAAGCACAAAAAAAGGTTCATGATATGCCCGTTTATAACAATATCAATAATGTAAATAGCTTCTCTTTTTTCCTCTTCTTTCCTCCTCCTAATGGTTTCGATATTTTCGTTTATAATAATATCATGTCAATATCCTCCCTCCCCTAAGTTCATCTTCAAATAACCTCCATTCTGTGTTGAATCTCGGTGAGAATCATGCATCATTGCTTGTACCTACAAACCTGGAGGTAGGGTATGCGCACGTCTTCCTCCTACCTCAAAAGTACCAAATTTATGAGTAAAATGTGCGAGAGAGAATGACATGACAATAAACTTACGAGACACGTCTTGCACCACTTGAGCCCATCCATTCCCAGCAATACTATTACCAGCCACACTGGACTCTTGACTGGCCTCCGCGGCTATGGAGACATTTGTTATCAGCCATCCAGGGTCGATTGAGATATATGATAAATTGATCAACTTACACGGCCCATCCACGGTAAAAGATCGGGAGAGATCTTGACCGTCTTGGGGGCCTTCATGAATTGTGGTCGAACCTTCACGACTGACGATGCTCCCGTGTTCAGTAGCCTCGGTGGCTACCGTGACTGCTTGACTCGCCATAGAGGCTATGGAATGGAGGTGTCATTCAATGTGTCATTCAAAGGTGATAAAGGGTTGTTGTGAAAAGGAGAATGTACCTGCCGCCTCGATGGAGTCGAGGAGATCGAGCTCTTCCGAAGACAATGTGATTGGAGCTTCGATCGCTGTGTAATCCTGGTAAGTCAGCCCAGTGCAATTTTTCCCACGTAGAGAGGTCAACTGACCTTCTTCGAATTCAGCGGCAAGAGCAGCTTCAGCGGCAAGAGCAGGGCAAGAGCAGCTTCAGCGGCGAGAGCTTCGTCGGTCATGCGTAACATGGCCACGGTGTACATCTTCCCATTGCTCGCTCGACGCCAATCGTTGAAATCGGGTTGATGAGGGAATGGATTAGTGCTGATGCATCCAGTGGTGATGCGACTGTGGCCGAGCTCGCCGCAGCGAAAGCATTGGTCCAATCCGGCATGAATGCCTGGATGGGATCTTTCGTTGAGGGTCCAATGAAAGATTTCCGATTTTGAGCGGGGTGATAGGCTGTTGAACCAGGCGAGCTCTTCAGGGGTGGGGTTTTCCCACCATCTAGGACGCATTGGCATGATGTTGTTGATGATGCTCACTAAAGTAATGGAGAGCGTCGATAAAGTAATGGAGAGCGTTGATTGAGTTGATTGACTTGAAATGATCTGAAGGACGCTTCTCGAACAAGTCATCCCGTTAGGATATCGCGTCTTAATGATATCGTAACGGTCTTGATATCCTAAGTCCGAAAAGGTGTACTCCTTTGACTTTCGGTTTGGACATATCATGCTCGGAAGATGAGCTGTAAATTTTGATATCACCCCCGTGAGGAATATATTTGCAGACACACTTTTTTGCGAAACAAAAAGGATGTAATGGAATAGCCGTAAATTTGCATAATGAAAGGACATTATCGACTTTTACGCAACTGTTTTTCTGGCAGACAATAACGCCTGCAAGAATTAAGAAATAAGCATCGCAAATTTCTACTTTGAACACCCTGCGGAGAATTTTGCAGTCGATATGTTACAACGCTTTCCCCTTGCGATCATTCCATTTTGGAGAATGTCTGTAAAATTCATCATTTCCCCGGAGATTGTTGATTTTTACAGACATCGCGATTCACAGACATTATTGTCTGTAAATTTCTCGGGCCCCTTAAATAAAAGCTGAGAATAAAAGAAAAGTTCCACAGCATTAATCGGGTTTTACCACCGGTGGGTTTTACACCGGATCTACATTGGAGAGTCATTTCGGGCGGCAGGAAGGCGAAAACTGAAAGCTTCTGAAAGTATTTGAAATTTCTGGAGATAGTGCGAAATATACGGTATTGTAAGGGAATTAAGTGAATTGACGCAGAGGAAACAAAGTACTAGGCTAGTCAGAATTCTGCGCTACCTGAAATCCACGTAAATTAAAATAATGTACGACTTTGCCCATATACTTGTATTTTCATTTCGTCATAGAGGTCTTTACACTTTTTGACGTTGTGAAGAGCCGGAACCCCAAACTTAAAGAAGGGGAAGCATCAAAAAGATAAGATGGAAGCGGCGAAGACGTAACACACGCATGTATCGAACTCTTTGCTCCGACTAGATGGCCGATCTCTCCAAGGTAGACTAGTCCTTCTCTTTTTAACTTGTTTAGATAGTGTTTGATGCAATATATGCCTAATGCACTTTAAATAAAAAAAAAAAAAAAGAACGAGCCGAGGCATTTCAACGCGTTAAGAGGAACCTTGAAAACGGATTCTTCCATAATCTTGCGACATCTATTGCTGGATTCGTAGAGGACTACAAGTTTTTAAATACTCACGAGCTTGATTCCATCTTAGATGCCATCTATCTTAGGATGAAGTCGCCGACATCTGCTCCAGCCTCTCCAAGTGTCTAAATGTGGTGTCATACAGTCAAATGCTTCTACGCTCACGTGACCCTGAAGTGATTTCTCATTCAGAGCTTATCAAGAGACAACTCGAGATCTCGGAAGCTAAATACGAACGCTATGGCAACAATTCCGCAAGGAGGTTTCGAAGCTTTGGGCAATTTGGTCAGAGGAGACGTGAGTTGCTGATCTGACAACGTAAATTAACTATATGGCCATAGTTAATGGCGCTGACTGGGAATCAACAATACCTCTGTGTCAACCTAGTACACGCACCTGTGACTTCGAGGATGCCCAAGGTGGAATCGCGCCTGACACTACTACATCAGTCTCCAATTAGGGTTGATGGATACCTCAGTAAGTGAATATGCTTTCGTATAACCTCATAAAACGTCTTTTTGGAAAATCCTTGAGGGGCATGTCAGTCAGCTGACATTCTCTACAACCTTATTGCCGTATCTTTCGATTGATCTACACAAGTAAATGGCATCATATTTTTACAAGGAATGAAGATACCCTATTGACGGTCCTGATAGACTGAGGCAGTCCAAGATAACGAACATACTGTTGCGCTGTGGTGATTTAGACTTAAGTGCTGATAAGTAAAGATGAAATATAAACACGCGTTTTTTTATCTTATATAGTGCGCATGAGCCAGAACCGAGATGACCTCTAGAGAGAGAAGTTATGGCGCATAAGGAGATAGCAATAGTACTCAGAGCTAAAAACTATATGGACCGTAGGAATTTGACTTTGTCTGAAAAAAGACTCGACATGGTTGGTTAAGGCTGCTCTCGGATTTACGACGTGGTTGGTTCACAGTGACCGAAATGGTTAAATATCGCAGATGCCATTTCGCAACTTGCAAACACACAGATTAGGTTTTTGAGAAGGTCTCTTCTCCAACATAATTATAAACATTATATATAGCCACAAATAAGCATCCTATGAATGGAAGAGGATTTCAAAACCTCATCTCAGATATCAAGAAGCAAGCTGCTCCATTAATTGATAAGAATGTAATCTTGCTGATCTCTTGCAACTGATATGATATCCGTCACATACATAGGGAAGATCACAAGGGCAAGCAAAACTGTAAGAGCATCTAAGAATTTGAGTTTTACTTTCCCAGTCCAGCTTCATGATACAAAGCGCAGTTCATACATATCGACTCCTTTGCTGCATAAGATAAACACCGGCGTATTTGGTATACAAGTCATTCAGTTGGACAAGCAAATATAAGTTAACCGCTATAAGTAAAGCAACTGCGACCCAAACAAACGCGAGGTGAGACGTCTTGAGTGAAGTGACATTGATTTGTTGAATCGAAGTCGTTTCCTTTATCTCAGCGGGCAATCTGTGAGTGCATGGTGTGTGGAGACATGTTGAAAGTGTTGAATTCATAAGCTCCATTGCCGTCAGAGTTTCTTCACGTTCAGCTGAAGCACGGGCACGGTCCTCTGACGCACCGAAATGGAACCAGCCTGCCATCAGTTATGTGGTTTCTGAAAGTCAATGATTGAAGATTACCCTGAGCATCCTGTAAGAGCTCCAAAACCTCATGTTTTGAACTCGACCAGTCCCTTTCGTGTAGCAGCACCAGTTGTATGAGGGTCTCGTCACGCTCTGTTGGCAATACCTTGTCAGCTGCATGAATAGATACTCAAGAATGAATCCCATTTCTGAATCACCCTTGACATTCTTCAACCAAGACCGGATATGTTTGTGAAAAGTGGCCAGGTCCGTCAATAATCTGGGCATGTCATCGCCAGCGGTTGTATCAATTCGGCATCTTTGTGGCTTTGACTCGTGTTTGAAACTTGTGCAGTGCGCTGATAACTCAAGAATAGATTCAGATAGCCGAAAAGGTCTGTAATAAGAGATTTTGACTCACCTGTTATCATTCTCATGCTAGCTTTCACCTGTGAATCAGCAAAGGAACATGCTTGAAAATGGTCCTCAAGTTCCCCTCGCAGGTCGTTCATATTGAGTTCCATCGCTCCTATCCTTTTGTTGATTTTTGAGTCATATTTAACAGTACTACGCAAACTTTCCAACTGCATCTGTATCTCACGTATCTGGTGAACCATACTTTCACTCTTTCGAATGCCGGATTCTCCAATGATGGCAACCTCCTGCTTCAAAGAGGTCATTTCCTCCAAAACAGCTTCCATCCCCATTCCTGAAAGTTTTTCTATCTCCGATAATCCCTCGGCCAGCTTGGTGACTTGACCGACAAGTCTCTCATAATCTTCTGGGGTTCTGCAGAGCTCTTCCGGCGAAATGGAGGTTGAAGGCGAAAATCGGGGGTACCTCGGTGGCTTTGGCCTGTTGAAGTCGAGATAGTTCTGGTTGCCTGACATTTTTCGGTATTGGGCGGGATGAAAAGTGTCGGTAATGGATCTCTGATTCTCAATATATTGGAAGGGCGAGACTAAGGATCTACACATGTAGGAATCTTTACGAGTGGGTTGTAAAGGTGATTCTCACTAACTCCGTTGTTTCTCTCCTCTTCTTCCAAGCCCTCTGAACAACAATCTCATTTGGATCATCCTAACCAAACAATAGACAGATACTGCTCGTCCAAAGCCATGAGCGTATGCTCAAATACAATCACTACTGCCATACCGGGGAGGTCAGGATGAACATTGAGAGGGGTGGACAGTTAATTGGTTATATATTTCCATTCATGGCAAAAAGTACCCAGCTACGTATAAGATGACCAATAAAGCTTGAAGCCCTTTCTTGCACAGATTTTTTGGCGCCATTATCTCAAACGAGATCTCAAACTGCTTGTGTAACGTTACGCAGTAACTGTCCCAGGCCGTCGTTAACCTTGAGTTCCCAGAAATGATGCTGATTGGCCACAAATCGTGACTCTCGGGGATCTGATCATCAATCCAAATCCACATCAAAATCGCCAGCAATAGACCGGATACAGCGAGACGGAAATATTTTAGAACACAAAATTTCACTACCCGGGAGAAGTAAGCGCTACTGCCTTCAAATCTTGTTGAACATAATGAGACTTACATCTGTGTTTGGATGTATCCAGGCAATCGACCGTTTTATGGACTCGCAAGCTGTCAGTTTCCTCTATGTTATACCATTTTGTGCAGCAGATGGCAAGAGAGTCACAGGAACGTTGTCGGTTTGATTAATATTGATCAGATCTGTCTTGCTGATGTCAAAATTCGAGAACTGACCATGTTGAGTGTCTTTGCCAACTTTGGGTGGGGCCTTCAGTTCTGTCATGTCGAATGCTTTATTGGTTGCTAAGATGGGAGAAAAGTGCACTTGAAGCTGTGGTTAACCGAAGAGGTTGAGAGGCCTGGTCATCAATTGGGTAAGAGCCTTAGTCAGTGGGAAAGTTGAGCTGGAGCGAGAAGTGAAGAAGATACCAGAAACGCGTCCGAAGCGATAAAGGCACTGTAATGCAAATCTCCAGAACTCCCTAGGATCGTTTCACCTGAGGCATAAAGGTCTTCCTTTGATTAATCCATTCTGAGATCCTTAGATCCCCACCGGAGATTTGAATCAACTTGATCATTTACTCATCTCAAGTATTGACTCATCTTGATATGTAATTGGCTCATGGGCTCATCAAAAGAAGCTGAAAACTGTCAAGCGCTAAGGACTACCGCCAAGTGCTAAGCCGCCTGTTATATTGCTCATTCAGACGTTCACAATCAAACAGAATTAAAGTCGGTCTCTCCCCATGTGATTGCCACCCAACTTGTCGTTCAATAATCTTCATTACAACCCTCTTCGACGCATCTTTTGATTTTTCTGCAGTTTGCATTCTCCCTACCTCCTTCATACTGAAAACATACATACCATAACTGTACTAGACTTTATATTGACGGCTCGATTGGTGAAGGAAGAGATGGCCCCAGAGTCTTCAAGCTATTCAAGCGCCGGCGCCTCTGTTGCCACCGTGAAGCCCACGAGGGAATCAACATATGTTCATCGTAATGTTCTATCAGGGGCTAGTTTAGAAACTAGTGGAAAACTGAAAGGTAAATATCCTTCTCCCCTCATTTTATGTGTGACTAAATGTTTGTCCCCACAGAATTTGTTATCGACTCAATTAAACAAGAGACTTCCACTTATTACGCTCTCCTGAAGCATTCACGCGCGGAGCTATCCTATCTACGCACACAAGTTGAAACAGAAACTAGTGACAATACCAGTAAGATGCACTTTTAAATGCCTCATCTTCCCTGCTGACGAGTTCCAGAACTCAGGGCTGATCTTTGCTTACCCCTTAGAGAATTGGAGAACAGTCTCTCAAAAAGTCGATGAAAATGTTCGTGATGCCGAGCAAACGAGAGAACAGTTAGAAATCTTGGAGAAAAGATATTCGCGCACTGTTACTACTGTTGAACACCTTTTCGAAGATCTTCAATATTTCCAACGTCTAGGGCGTGAAAACCTTTGTCTCATGCAAGAAAAGTATCTTATTCTTCACGAAACTCTTCAAGACCTTGAAGTACAGTACTCAAGGCTTGAGTACAAGTTTGGTATGTGTCATGTGGAGTTCTTCCTTGTTAAATTTACCCAGCGCGCTGAAAATTCGATCCACTTATCTGCTCTTCCTAGCCTATTCCATCGACTTGGAAGGCCTTCATTTCTACTACGTAGTTATTTGCTGGATGTGCTGTCAAGTCCTTTCTTTTTTTGGCATGATTGGATGGTGAATCATATTGAATTTACTATGATCGTACCACTTCACAATTTATCGAATTTCTTTGCGCGTAATATACTCAAGTACCTATGCATGTAATAGGTACATGTTATTCAAAGCGGAGAGTAGTCAAAAATTTTTGAAGTGTTTTGGAATATACCGAGGTGATAAGAATAATTTTGATCGATGGTTGATCATAGGACAAAACTCGAAACTTGCAGACCCATATTCCACCTCCAAAAACCCCCACTGACATCACACCTTTGAACCCCTTCAAACCGCAATATGTATTCACTAAGTCTGAAATTTTCAATTCTTGAGTCGCACTCAAACACATAAGCACAGCATTATGGTTTATTACAATTGCTTTTCACACATTCCCCAGTCGTGTCGTAGTGCCCACGGCTGTCGACAACCGGGACCTCCCAAAAGTTCGCACATTAGCGGCTCTAATCTAGACCTCAGCCTCCCGCTATGAATAAATTGAATAACCAGCAGATTACTTGGAGCGGAAGTGAAAGCAAACAATTCATGCATTGCATCTTCCAAAACTTTGTGTAAGAGTGAGAATAAGACACCTGAATTAATACCTGAATTTAAGGATTAAAAGTGTTTTTGAAGGGTGAAGACAACGAGCTACGGAAAAAAGTCGATTATGAAAAAGGTCCGAAATACCAAGAAGCATATGACTGACCGTACAAAACTCGACTTTGCGTCATCTTCATCAGTATGAGTCTTCTGAAAAGGGTAGCCGAAATCATTTGCGCACATACCTTCAAACACGCAAGGGTTGAATCAATTGCAGCGGTCGTTGTTTGCTGATAGCAAAACCGTTGATGGTCGGTGAAAGCAAAAACGGCGATAGCGTGGTCCGTATGTATGTTGGTCAGTGGGACGAGTGTATGTATGTGGGTCCGTGGGGAAACAGGTGAAATAATGTTTAGTAAGATACATAATCCTTCTTTGAAGGGGCTTGAAGTGGTATGTGCAGGCGAGGACTAACCTACATACGTGTACTCTGCACCCTTGCAAGTCATCAGACGGTGGTTTTCCTCATCGGAGAAGTTGAGTCCTTTCCAAACTATCCTGACTTGGAAAACCATCATTTCGACCATTTCGCGCCCGATTCCAATCCATAAGTGCGTCTGGTGCTCTCCTACCTCAATTCTTATATATGCTGATTGCTGATTTTATCGTCGAGGTATCAGGAAGTGATAATGCTCCCACCTTTTCTACCTGATGACGTCAGCGGCCTCATGCCCGAGTTGCGAGAATTAGCTGTTCACCATCGAAGGCCAGAGTCATTACTGTCGAGGGGTAATCCGGATGACCGTGCCAGCGATTTCAGAATTTTCGTTCAAGGTACTCTCAAGCGTTACCAGATGTTCCACATCAAGGATGCCGTTGCGACCCACATAGAAAAATACAAATTTCTAAACACCTTGGAGCTTGGCGCGATAGAACACGCGGCTTACATGGTAGAAGATGTCCTTCTCAACATCGTCGCCAAGGTCCACGACACTGAAAAGGTGATGTCGTACTGCAAGATGCTGTTGCGTTCGACGGACCCCGATGTGATTCGTCACCGTAATCTATACAAGAGGCAAATCGAAGAGTCACAAGAACAGCACAAAATCATGAAGGAAACACAGAAACGTTACTACAAGGATGCCGCGAACCTCTGGGCCCTATTATCAGAGGAGACGTGAGTATCTGACGTGATAACATCGAAAGGGGTGAAATTTCATGAGATATGCTAACTTACAAACATTATAACTTCTTATCTTGGCCTATTCAAACCCAGTAAACGTACTTGTGACTACGAGGATGCGGTTGCCGCTGGGCGCGTGCCAGAACCCGCCGAAAACGAGCCTGATGCAGCTGGACAGGCAGAACAGTGATAGTGGAGACGTGAGTACCTGACCTGATAACATTTGAAATGTCAGAATGTTTGAGAGACTGACTTACATACAGTTTCCCTTCCTATTTTTGCCGGATCTTGAGTGGCAAGAAGTTTAAGCAGCGGTTTTGGTTATCCTCCTGCCTCATTTCTCTTTTGCTGAATATAATATAAGGAAAGCTAGTCATGTAGAATTTGCTCGATTATGTGATTCGTGCTAGATACAATATATATGTAGTTCGGTGATGAGACGGCTCAAAAGATTGAAACTATCTTCTTTGGTATTCTGCTCACGGAATATCACAAGGCTCTTGTGAAGAAAGCTACTTTGACCTCAATGGTTTTGTCTTCCTTATCATTGAATGAAAAAAACAGATACAAACAAGATGGAAATTCTATGGACTCAAATACACCATGTCTTCCCAAAATTCGAAGCAAGATTTAAACGTTCCCAGGAGCTATTTTCCGTCTTACAAACAGAGCCAAAAATTAAGTAGAGTACATCGGTCTTGTCCAGCATGAATAAAAACCATCGGGATCCGGTAAGTACGTTCATTGTTGTGGCGGTCTCGAAGAACTAGATATAGATGGATGATTTTGAAAAAGATAAGATGATTGATATTTTTTCTTCTCTAAAGGAGGGGAAACAACAATCACACTTAGAAAATCAACATCAATAAGATCTTTTGACTTTCAATCCTGAAAGTCATTAAAATCTCCTTACCACTCATTACACACAAATTATCTGATTTCAATGGTGTGTAGTATCGTGTATCACCATGCCAGAACTCATAACTCGATTGACAAAAAGCAAAAACCGGGACATTCACTCACAAATCACGTATCTAGTAGTACAACACATATACAAGAATCCAGCCACATCTTATATCGTGGAGTAAAGCAAGCATGAAAGAGATAGAAAAAAAACTACAATCAACTAAAACAACTTAGAGGAATCTGCCCACATCTTTTATCGTGGTGTAAAGTAAAGAAAGAAAGTATCATAATAAACTATCTGTAATGTAACACTTAGATAATTTGATATCAAGAGAAACAGAGAATGTGAAGTCTCGATTCATTCACTCCTCAATAGGACAAGAGCCCGCCCGACGTGACGGTAATACCTGCCTGTGACACCTTTATTTATGGCAGCAGTCGCAGTCCGTGCTAAACAAACATGAAGAGCAAAGGCTTTTGTGAGACGGTGAACAGCGGTGAACTTATGATTTGATTGATCCGAAAGAGATCAAACTTACGGTCTCAAACTGTGTACTTTTGACCAATCGGTCCATGGGAGCGCCACCGGGTTGAAAGGTTGGTGCTTGGTTTGTCTTGAGTGTGATTGAAGTGTTTCCAACAACGCGGATGACGTGGTAGCCGGAGGGGTGGGGGTTGGAGAACTGAGACCAATCATGTCGGCAGTGACCGAACGACCCATTTCAAAAAACATTGAACGAATATTCAATGCAGTTGGATGGCCATTTGAAGGGTCGGATGGGACACTCATAGGGGTGGGCGTGGCAGATGGGGTATTATCGTGAATGTTTTGACTACAAATCATATATGTATAAATGAAAATTTATAAATCCTTTAAATGAAAATGAAAACTCTGGCGATTGAGATGTACGAAAGTTTGCAAAGAGGCTTACGTCGATTGATCTTCTAAAACGGTTTCCATAGTCCACTCTTGGTAAGGATGCATCCCAAGTAAAGCCTTTACACTATATATTTTACCGTTAGTGGTACGGCGCCAGTCTGGGATCGGTTCGGCTGTCCGTCCGACTTGACCGCATTGCCATGTACGGTGACCAAAGACGCCACAGTTCATGCACTGATCTTGCCTTGCTTGACACTCGGGTGGGCCGTTAACGGGATCGAGACGGGTTCTCGTTCAGCGCTGCCGCGAGTAGACATGATGAGTTCTAAAACCGATCTCGCCGCTGCTGAAGAGAGAGGAACGGTTGAAATATTTCCATTTGTACTTTTTTCAAAGGTCTTTTTTGTTTTTGGACCACAAAATGTTAGTTGATTCTTGACCGTTCAGGTGTTGGATTATAGATATATATGGTGACAAGATCTTTGACTGTTACAGTGTTTTGTCTAGCCATGCAGAAATGAAGAACAAATTGCGGATTCCACTGAGATTCCATAATGATCCTTTTGACCTTCACTCTAAACAACAAATAACTATCAGTCCGTAGGTATGAAGAAGTCGTGGGAAGCCTGAGGCATGAGTTAAGGGTTTTATTTAAGATTGGGGACAAGCATCTTGTAAATCTGCTCAGAGGAATCACTTTCTGATGTGTCACTAGACCACCCTTTGTGATCTTGGGCTTCGTCGGTAGTCCTGTTTTCTGCAGACCTCAGTAGAATCTCAATGCAGCCCTTGAAGGCTACATAATGTTCCATGAACACTGTCAATATTTTGATGAATTCCTCTCGGTCCTCCACCTTTAAGTACAGACAAGATATGTCAGATCGATTAAGTTGAAGTTTATGTTTGTGTGAGATGAGAGATTTGGAAATTTATTACCTTTTTATCAAGCTTTGATTGCTTGAAATACAGATCAAGTTGCTTTGCTATAGAGCCGGAGTTCAATTCTGTTTTGCTCTTCAATGGTAAGTTGGATTTCATTTTTGACCTTGAGTTACTTTGACCTGGCTTGGATTGGACCCCACTGAATCTCGAAATTATTGAATGGATGTCCCCGGGTTGAAGAATACCTGAAAGTAAAAGTCTTTCACTCAGATGAGTCAGGGGCTCAAGGTCTCTTTGAAATTTTTGTAAATTATTTGACATCAGGCGAAGCTCCCCAGCTGAGATTATTTTGGGAGTTAATTTCATTTTTGAGTGTGTTTGAGCTGCGGTTGGAAAGATGACTTCAGGGTCAATATAGGCTTCATGACCGGCAGAGTGTAGACTACATACGTGATTTGTAATTCTTGATGTTGGTTTTGGCTTCTTGCATCGCTTGGGCTTCAAGATCCATCAATTTTCTTTTCTTCATCTGGAACTGTGGCATATCCGAAGCAAAAAGTGACATTGAACCCCAAGAACCAGGTGTAGTTGTCGGTTTCGGTGGGATTGGATGTGAAACAATTACAATCAATTCAAGGTGTATTACTGGTAATTTGAATGGTGTTGGTTGCGTTGATATAGTGATTGAGGAGACTAGAACCAACTCTTCAACAATTTCTGAAAGTAATGAGATTATTTTAATGTTCAAGTTTTGTGGGAATGGGGTGATGTGGAGCAACATCAGATTCCAAATTAATCAAAGGTTTTATGTAGCCATAGGTCTTGAGAAATTTGCACAACAAAGGTGCTGAACTGAGTTGCTTATATGTAGCTTAGTTCCAATTCTGTTGATCACAACTGGATGAGTGTTTTCTCAAGTGAGGTAGGCTGTGGTTGCTTATCTCGTCCTTCCAGGTACAGTAAATTTGCTGAGACTAATCTCAGTATTGATAAATCAGCGTTCAGTGAGGTGTGAGTGAGACTGGGTAAAGCAAGGGAATAGCTCAGTACAGCACTCACCCCATCAAGAACCCACGCTTAAGAGTTAAGACTGCAGAAGCTTTCACTGAACAGCCTCATTTTGATCAACTCATCAATGTTTTATATTGTTCTTCAGTTTTACCTCGACCACTCGAGCTCAATCATTTGAAAGATTTAGGGACCCTGGATTTAGTGACATATAAATCAAAAATCCAAAATCTGCCTACTCATGTTTCAATTTCATAACGGTTGACAATGATTTTGTAGTAAATTTCAAAAAGATTGGATTTTAGAACCGAGATTTATGATATTTTCCACTGAATCACCGGAAAGCCATGTATGATCATCAACTCGAAAATCCCAAACAAACAAAATTAAACTCGCAGTCCACCTGCCTTGTTTCAAGATTAAGAGTGAACCTTACAACCCATAGGCCATGCACATTCCCAAGTCGTGTCGTAGTGCCCACGGCTGTCGACAACCGGGACCTCCCAAAAGTAGGTTGAGGAAGATTTTGAGTACGAGGCAAACTTTGTTTCTAGACTTTCGTCATGTCATTGCATCTCCGTCGTCCTTGAAAACCATGGAGAAGGAAAGTAGGGCGCTCAGCCTTGCTCAACACACACGTTCATCAGATGAGCACATGATCTTGAGTCCCGCTCTGTACAACATCATTTGCAACCATAGACAATCGCGCCACATCCTCAACGTCATACGTCTATATACAAGGTAAGACTACATACATACATTCATTCCTTGACGAGATTTCTGTCAGGTCTACAGATTTAAACAAGAACCAAACACTTCAAATTCAGATACATTCCTTTTCAGTTACTTTATAATATCTGGTTGTTGGTATGTAGATAGTCGTTATATTACGTGCCAGAAAATAATTGGAAAAATCAAGGAACAGTGCCTTGGCCAAATGATCGCGATTCAGTTCACATGGTACCCATTCCTCTTTCGATTGAATCACAGCTTTCATAAAATTTACTATGTACGCTTGTGTTCTTTTCCAGATTGGTTCTTCTACAGATTGGCCCGGCTTTGAGAGATGTCGAGTTACAAGTAAAAAGTTGATTGCGCGGAGCGGGGATAAGGTGTGCTTGTCTTTTGGGTAGATCATCAAACCCTTGACTCCAGAACAGAGGAAGCTAGCAAGAACTGACAGATTCTGATGTGAGATGGTGATTTGAGCGCGGGTTTTGATGAGTTCCTCTTTGCGAGCCGCAAAGGCCTCCGCGGAGTCAGGTTGTGCACTATTGGCTATGTGATTGGTGCAGGTCGCAATTTCGTCATCAAGGGTTGTTGTAGCCCATATACTTGCAAATGTTTCTATCATCGTGTAGATGGAAACAATGAACCGATCTAGATCTTGAATACAACTCTCACGGGACGCTGATTCTGTATCTTGAAGTTTATCTAATCGAAGTGATGAAAGTTCCTTAAAGTGCTGCCAACATGTGATAGCGTTACGGGTCCCACGAGACATCGATGCTTTGTGTGACACTTTTTTAGATGGACGGATTCTGTCGGCATCAGTTCCAATCAGAACAAGAGCGGCCAGGACGTAATGCATGCCCCGTTCGAGAAGAGTATAGGTGGGGTTGTGAAATACTTTGATGGTGTCCCATAAGTAACGCTCATGAATCGGAACTTCCTTCGAGGGAGAAGAAGTTGAAATTGTACGAAAATTGAATATCTGTGGCTGGTACCAGATGGTTCCCTTGCTTGGAGTGAATAATTGTTGATCTACAAAAATTAATAATGATTGCACCGAAATATCAGCAGCAAAAAAGATCATAATTGAAATGAAGGTGACTGACTTTCCGGCATTAGACACCACTCACGAATACGTGGTTGTCCCAAAGTGCTGAAGGTCACGGGATGGGAAAGCAACTCATCTGGATCGAACTGAGTGCAAGAACCTAGTGTGAGAGCATTTAACAACACAAGTGATGCCTCATGGATCGCGGCTATTTCAGAACTAAGCACAGCCTGCCTTTGAACCGATTCGCTTCGGTAAAGGTCGATCTTTTGAATCCAAAATGACTTGGGCTCGTCAGCAACCAAAGGAGATGCTACAGATGAAGGGTTGTTAAGCCCATTCTCGTTGATCGAGGCGGTTTGTGCTGATAGATTGGTCCTCTCTCCTGGACCTGGTGAAGGTGTGTCTACGCGGAATGCAGGAGGCTGACTCTCGTCATTGGCCGCAGTTTCAATATCTTGAATTCTGAAACGTCGCGGTTTTGAAGGCCCAGACGATGTGGAAGAATCCATCTCTGGACTTGGAAGCTTCTTTCTTGAGCAAGCTAGACGTGCCGAATGGCGGCGCGATCGATCAGTGCTCTCGTTCTCGTCTGGTTTTCGACCTCCTTTTCTGGCTAGTTCCCTTTCGCCTCCCTCAAGCAATGAACTGGATGAGTTATCGATGAATGTAGACCTATACAGTACCGTTGTGGAGTGTCCAAACCCAGGCATATTGGGTGTCGGGGAAGAAAGATCGGGTTGAGTCTTAAATTGCTGCCGTAGTGTTTCAGGCACACTAGGTACACTGTTCAACTTATAGGAAGTGGCTAGTTTCGGGGGAGTGCTGTTGAGTGGCGTCATGGATGGCATTTGGGGTATGATTTTAGTCTGCCTGGCCGAGTCAATTCTCAACTCGTCCCCTCGAGATTCTATATGGAAGCGCTTCAGATGTGATGCGATTTTTTTGAATGCTATGAATAGGACAAGCATCAGTTGGATGAACACAAGCAACACTACATGACCAACATACATTCCATCTCGTTCTCAGCTATCTCTGTAACTGCTTCCAGACATTTAGCTAGCCCAGCCGTCATTGGTATAGATTGTAACCAGTCTTCGATGGTTTTGGAGATTAGATCAAGGTCCATCAGATAGCGTGAAGGGTTGGTTTCCCCTGGCTGCTGGATAGATGAGATCAGCGAGTCCATGTCGTAGATAATCGTGTGGATAGGATGTCCGGGCGAAGGATTGAGGAGTGTAGGGAAGGTTTCAACCTAGACAAAATACTTTTCGCCGTTCCATACCGATAAAGGGGAAGCTTGAACAGGGATGTATGACAAAGGCACACACCACACTGCAAGCGTGCTTGTGTGGTGGATTCTTTCCTGTCAGCTGACCACTCTGAGGATCGTGGGTGCAGTTGTCGACCACACTGACCCACCCTGAGCTTTCTTTTGTCCATCAGGAAATCTTCATTATACTCGTTGGTTCCCTCAGTGATCATTGGGAGTGACGGACACACAACACACCAGAGCACCTTCTTTTTCATCAGTTGACCACTCTGATGGATGAGGATGCGGTTGTCGACCAACGTGACCCACTTCTCTGAGCTTTCTTTTATCTATCAGGAAACCTTCATTAGACTTGTCCATTCCCTCAGCGATCGCGGAAAAGTCAACCCTCAACTCCATCAAAGTCACAAATGGCACAGTGTCATTGTGAGTAAAGCTTGTTAAGGAACACTTGCAGGAAATGGAATACTCTTTGAATAAAATACTCATCATGGGTGACAGCGAGCTTTTGTGGTCTTGTTACCTGAGGAATGGGGTGACTGAGGGTTTACTCCCTTTATGACTTTCCTTCATAATTAAAAGGCCGGTCTGACCTACCCTTAAGAAAGCCACATGCTCTCAACCTTCACAGATTATATAATTATAGTTTATACTCTCACCCTTTAGAGATTTTTGTAGTTCATAGCTTGTTAATATCTCATATCATGCTCCGTTCTACAGCTACTTTCCTTGGCCTTGTCTTGCTTATCTTAGTGTTGGCGCCTATCATGTTTGATCATTTCATAAACTCTTTTGCCATTACCATTCGCAAATATCTTACACTTCCTGCCAGCCTGCTTGCCACCACCACCTATCTTTACTGCACTGTATTTCAAAGTACATCATTCTGCTACGATGCTAAAGATGAGGGCACAGCCCGCCCTCTATCACAAATTACGAGGTCTGTAGCGACAGGGGCGAAAATATCTTCCGACATTTTCGATTCTGTCATCGGCATCGGGAACCCTTTCAACCTTGCGCTCCACCAACCAGAGATACTCGAGTTGAGCCTAGCGATTCAATATTCAGCTGCTTTCGAAGGTAGGGAGTTACTTGCAATCCAGCTGTGGGACCTCAGCGAGCAGACGAAGGATGTAAAAGATCGGCTGATAGGGCTCAACAGTCAAGGGATCAATACATTTTCCTTCATTGCTCACGAGGTAGGTTACTCTTGACTGCCCTCATCAGCTTCTTTTGCTGACCTGTGCAACCCTTTTACGCACAAGTTCTCAAGAATCCAAGACCTTGTTGAGATTGTTCATACAGGAAAACCAAAATACTCAGCGCATACCATCTCGCACAATCTAGACCTGCTTTATGATCACCTCTCACTGGACCTCTCCCGACTTCTTCTCCAAGTCGAGCACACACTCCCGATTATAGCGCGTGCAGGGGATCAAGCTACTTCTGTATCAGCAGAGCTTCTTCAACATCATCAAAAGCTTCTTGAGAAGCAGGAAACTACCCCCTTTTGGCGGAAGTTGTTGAAGAGTCACGGTTGGAGTAATAATCAGCTCAAGAAGGACATTGCTCTCACGTCCGAGAGTATTCAACAATTGATGCAGACATGGAGACAGCTTGAGAATTTACGGAGCCTGCTGGTTGCGTACCGTAACAATGTCACGTTCTTCAAAGTACGTCTACCCTTTCTCTGAATCGATCTGGTTCCGAGCTGACTATGGTTGTCCCTTACCTAGGCATCACTAGTTGGATCACACATTGCTGATCATCAGCTGTCTGTCGAAGATGAGGTGTATACCATGCGTCATATCATACAGAAATTTACGCAGGCTGTCCAAGACTCAAAACAAGGTGCAATTGGTCCACGGGGCAATTGATGGAGGACTAGGAATTATCCCCATTCTAGCTCCAATTCATTCTTTGTCGTGACTTTGAAGCATTGAGTTACCTGAAACAGAAATAAAACGGGGGCCCGAGAATTTTACGAACTACGATTTCCAGACATCATTGTCTGGAATCCGTAAGATTCAAGATTTCTCCGGAGGAACTAGAATTGTACGGACATTCCAAAGTTTCGAGTGTTCGGAAATGAAAAGAGATGTAAAGATTTGGTGCAAAATTCTCTTCAGGGCATGAAATATTGAATTTTACGATCTTTGTTTTGTATAGTTTGCGAAGATTAATCCTCGTGAGAAAATAATGCCTGCAAAGTTCTTGGAATTGTAAGCCAGTAGGTCTTTCATGATGTACCTTGCACATACATAAACATCATGTTGAAGTGATGTCGACTGTCCTTCGTTTCTGGATTGTGTGAGCACAAATTCGACTGACTGTGGGATATCTCCGAGGGGGAGATGAGAAGTCTCCTGCAAGAACCGCGCTAGTACTTTATTCCCGTGTGGTGGGAGACTTGGTTCCCCGACCTCCATCCACGCGCTCAATCTGAGATCTTTCCATGGGCTATCGACCATAGATCTCACCCGTCCATCCATGCCGGCATGGACCAGTGCCCCAATTGTACCGAGTTTGGCCACACACACCCATGCTCCAATCCCCCTGATGCACCGGGTTATGATTATTGGCGCCGATCCAGCAACGGCAACATGTACTTATATTTGGAAACTACCTACCTACCTGATATGCGCTTTTTATTTTTTTGTACCTCTACTCAATTACATTAATGTCTGTAAATGATGTTCTGTAAAATTCATGTCGCTCAATAAAACGAGTCGGAAGGTACAACAAAGGTAAAACACATGCGCATAATACGAGCACATCAGTATGAGGCTACTAAGATTACAGTTATTGAGCAGACCGTGATCCCAATGGTGTGGGATACAGTTCTTATTGGGTGAGGCTGCTGAGATGTGTGGCTCATTCCGAAAGGACATATAAGAAATTAAAGTGTCATGATCATGATCAGAAGTAAATCACAACCTGCAAAGAATGATCGCTTGCAATGGGTTTGAAGACATATTTTGTAGAGATCGCGATAAATACAAAGATGGAGTTTTATTGCATATGTTTGTAATCCTTCCATATCTGTTTTCCTGCGTCTCGTAGGGTTTTGACACTTTCAGACACAGAAAAATTACAAGGCGAAAGGGGTAACCACAGCAAGGGATTACTGAACAGACCACTATAGTCTTTGGCTGCGGAGTACCGGGCGACACCAGCAAAAAGGTCCGCGTGGTTATATATGGCTAGTGATATCCGTTGTGGGGGTTGAGCATGGCCTGGTTGGCGGAGTATGTGGGTCACGGAATGCAACAAGACTTTGAATAAGCCATGCACAGAGTATCCATGGTCTCCGCACAATGTGACTCCTAAATCGGGTAGTGCAAACCTCGCTCCGGTGTATCCACTACCAAGGAAAAAGACAGAGTCGAGAAGGTTTGAGTTTTTTCCGTCTTGGTGATAGTCACACTGCATATTGTACGATATTTGGCGACCTGAGTAACGAAGTCAGAAATTATGGTGAGGGTTCTCAAACACTCAAGCGCTGTCAAGTGGGGTACTCACCACACAAAATTCGATGGCGCATGTGGTGAATCCGCTGTTTCACAAGTACATCACCATCCTCAGAGAGTAAATCAATATTTTGATGTGCTATTTTGTACGCCTCGGGCTGGACAGCCAGAATCACTGCGAGCGAGACATCGTACTGCCAACCCAGCTCCATGGTGACTCGCGCATTCTCACGTCTCTTGTAGAGGGGGCCATCATTCATCTGAATCGCCTGAGGTAAGTTTTCTTTCCCTACGACGCGATTCCGCCATGCGGCGTCCGCCATCAAAGATCCTTGACGGTCGGGGCCAAAGGCCAGCTTCCTGTCTGCTATGTCCGCCGAATGGGTCTGAAAATGACCAAAAACCTTGAATCAGCTATTAGGCTTGAATTGAGGCAGATACAGATGAAGTAGATGGAGTGGGGCCCGACTTACATCACCTAATCCATACCCAAGAGACTGATATTGGACTGTTCCATAAATTGCCCCAAAGTGTACCGAAGGCTGGCTGGCAGATTGCGAAAGCTGTGACCCGCTTTTCAGGGTGAGTGGGAAAGGTGTGAGAAGATGTGAATTGTTTGTGGGTGTCCTGTCGATAAGATCTTGATCCACAACCGGTAGGTTATGTATTCTTGCCGAGCCAAGGCAAGCAAGGAGCGCCCGGTCCTGATTACCTGTAGATCAGTTACTGGGGGTTATTGTGTAGAAAGTTTGTGAAAGAACTTACGGCGCGATCCATGGCAGGTTTGTTCGTACCGGTGTTCGCGTTTTTGGGATCCCCCTGCTGTGTATACATATAAATGAATGATCGGCCGCAAAAGATTGTGAAGAGACACTGACAGATCCATTGTTGATTTTTTCAACGGGCTTGTGCTCAGCAAGCTTGACCTTTGTTGAATCGACTTGCTTTGGTGCGAATATCAGGTAAGTGTCGCGCGGTTTGGTAAGAAATTGCGAAATTGGACATACGTCGGCATCCTCGGTTTCTGGCGACTTGGTTCGTTTAGGAGGCAGTCCAACTGCAAGCACTCGCCCAGCGATGTCCAATAATATGATAGGGACATCCGAAGGCAGCTCCCGAGGTGAAGCGGAGTTTTTCATGGCGAGAGCTTTCAAGGCGCGCAGATTTGGATAACGTAGCGCAAAAGGTTTCTCCCGACCTGGGTTGGAATTGTAAGCCAGTAGGTCTTTCATGATGTACCTTGCACATACATAAACATCATGTTGAAGTGATGTCGACTGTCCTTCGTTTCTGGATTGTGTGAGCACAAATTCGACTGACTGTGGGATATCTCCGAGGGGGAGATGAGAAGTCTCCTGCAAGAACCGCGCTACTGCGAGGTCGTAATCCACAGTAACAACAAGACTGTCCCTGAAACTCTTGCGAACATACTCAAAGGCCATCTTCTGCTGGATAAGCAATTGAGCCGGGGTGAAATCCTGAGCTGGAGTTGGCGGAAGAAGCGTGGCAGGAACGAAAGCGATATGTCGTTGCTGCTTGCGCTTCGCTGTTGATTATCCAAGTGACTCAGGATCGGCATTCATGATAAAGGGTCAATGCTATGGCTCACGCTGGTAAAAGGGAATGATACTTGAGCGTCTCTTCAAGGGAGATGAGTTATCCAGGTTAGCCTGCGAGGTTCCTTCGCTGCGGTGAGGCAGAGCGGCTGATCCTATAAACGGTGAAGTTTCTGATAGTTCAGTCAATGGTGATGATGAGGGCTGATCATTTTCTGAGAGGTCAGTCAATGGTGACGAGATAGGCAGCGTCGTGATGCGGCGGTCAAGGTCGTGACTATCATGAGGGAGTTGATGAGATTCTGAGCGCACTGAAGTTGTTGAGATCTCTGTAATTCAATGGGCATTGAAGCTGGTCAGCAATCTGCCCAATCACATTTTGAGACAGGCCAACCAGATCTGTGTGGTCAAACATGCAACTTGTCATGAAGACGGTGCGGATTACTGGGGTCAGCTGCATTTCAACAATCCATAAAAAGGCCAACCAGATCCGTTCAGTCATACACGCAACTTGTCGCGCAGACTGGGTGGATCACTGGGGTTCGGCCGCAACGCAACTTGTCGATGTGCCAGCCCCCCAGGTGGATGATCCTTTTTTTAGGAGAGCGAAACGGAACCCACCGGTGGGATCCATGAGTGGCAAGCTCTTCCTAGCGTGCTAACAAGACAGCAGGGGTTATTGGGATTGTGGTGAATCCTTGACGGTAAGCAGTTCTCTGGGAGGTGCCTCAATGAAAAGGCAAAAGCCTGACAAAAATGCCAACAACGGGTACTAGGGAAGCTTGGTAGCCTTCATTTCCAAGTAATCCGTGTGGAGGTGAGAGCCGCAAATGATAGGTCTGTGAGTTGCAATTAGGTTTAAACCGGGGTCTGCACATACTACTTGACCTGAACCCCTCTGAACCTTGTTAAATCTGCGAAAGTCTGGGGGGCCCCGGTTGTCGACAACCGTGGGCACACTACTATGTGATGTGCATGGTCAATTGTGCTCAACGCAGCGATTTAGAGCGAATTTATTTAAGTCCTTCCTTTCCAATCATCATATCCAATGAAGCAGGAAACCCAAATAGGTACAATGAGATTGAGATGTGTCACCGCGGCTCTGCTGTCTAAATATACTCAACTCAAATCGATAACACCCTTAATCATTAATTAAACCCAGTCGCTAATCGACTTCAATTGACTATCAACTCTGATCTATACTCGACTTGTATCCTTCTCTTACCTTGTCACCAAACCTCTGTGCATTCGAGCATGGCGGAACTAATGCTTTGTACTTGGTCTCAGTGTATTAAAAGAAAGCATACCGACTCAAATATCCGTGTCAGCATTCGGCGCCTTCGGTTGTCAACAATCGTGAGTAATCAGTTGGTTTTCATTTTCTGTTTGACCCTTTATTTCTTTTTTCTCTTCACAGTGCAACACCAAGCGTTCAGCGTTCAGCGTGCTTTTCACCTCAGTCACATCACTCAATCTCAAATCTCGGCAGCCATAGACTCAGTAGGCTCAGTCCCCAAGCAATATCCCTTTTACACAGCACCCTTGTGGTACAGTTGTATAGACGCTGATTGTCACTATAAATTTGTCTCCATGGTCGATTGACTGATACTGTTTCACATCAGTCACTGACTACTATCATCCTCCTGCACCATCTCCAATAACCTAGTCCGAACTCGAAAGCGACACTCTTGTTTCAATCTAATCACCAACCGTCCAATGCATCGAAAGAATATCGCATATCATTGTCCTCACCTCCACTCTTGTAGCAGCACGATGAAGAGGAAAAAAAAATGCGTTGATTGTGTGGCATTGACCAAGTCCAGTGTCATAAAACATGCAGCCAGTACTTCGTTGCATCCTAACTGTAGTCCCAACTGCCCAGCTTACGGAGGTAAGCACTTCCGTTAACGCTGTGCCCGAATGGAAACTGACATGTGCATGATGCGATTGATTGGATCACAGTAGAAACATTTGCATCTTTTCCATTTGCGAGAAAGCAGCAAGATCAGCCGGATTTCCAAAACCCAAGCCCCGTCACAGGTAAGTTGAAAGACTTTTGGAAACTTACGACATTTTGACTGGTAGATATCTTTCTATATGCTTCTCTACTTCCTACCAGTCGGCGAAGGTCCGTCACGTGCAACCACACATAGGGATTCGGACCCATGGCCTCTGCCGGATGAAGCATTCATTTTGAAAATCAGAAAAGAACGCCATCCTTCAAAGTCGGTGTCTCATGCGACGCCCGGCGATCAACACGAGGATCCGGTCAGTAAGGATGCTTCAAATACTCCCATAGAAATGGTTGAACATGCAGGTATAATCATTCCAAGGACCAGTGCAACGTTTATCCAGGAAATTGATTTGCTTCCTGTCCAACAGCCAGGCGCGGGAGTTCAAATAGCCGTGAGGATGATCGCCTCCTAGACAATGTATCAAAGCACCAAGACCATCGTGAACTGGCCTCAGCTTTGGGAGATAAGGCCAAAGTTAATCACATCAGTTCTCTTTCAAATTTGGGAAGTAAGGTCAAACTTGTTCATATCGCTCCTGGTTCAACTTCGAGAAATGAGGTCAAAGTTGATCACATAACTCCTTTTACTACCGCGTCCGATGTTGTCAAAGTGACGACGCTAAATACAATATTTGCCTTCGTATTTGTGGGTTACTTTGGGGTTTTCATTGCTTGGAAGTGGGCGTTACCATTATTGTTATGTTTATTGATCTCAATGTTAAACTTTTGAGCACTGTGGTCGTGCGCTTCTGGTGATCTTGAGCACTCCACTGTTCTTTTTATCTTAGCACTAATGAGAATCATTCAACATCCAAGTCAACAAATAGCAAATGCCCAAGAGGGCCGTATTGGAGAGCGAGCTGGTTGAGGCTGGTTGTACACCGTGCTGCAGTAGAGTCCTTGTGTTGAAGTTCCAACCAAGGCTCGTGCAGATCATACTGAAATCCAGTCGGCAGACCAAGGCAGTGGGTACCCCTGAGAGGCGTCGGTTTCGATCTGAGCAAATTATCATATTGCATCAGTTTGAACCGCCTAGAATGGATCTTGATGTCAATTAATTCGATACTCGAGAGCATACATCTCATATGTCAAACCAATCTCCAGATCCGAGTTCAACTTCGAAGTTTGCAATCCAGTTCTTTGGGTTATACAGTAGATCAAAGAGCAGACAACGCTCATCACGAGTTCACCGGTTTCATGAAAGATGATGCTCCAGAGTGAAATTATTTACTACAAGGGCGGGAAAACCCATCGATCAAATGGATCAAGAAAAGTCTTCTGAAACCAAGAATGTGATTCCTGAAGCTCAAGAAGATTTTGACAGAATGCTTGAGCACGCCTCAATTCCAAAAGAAGGAGAAGGTGGGGGAACCACGATCCTGTACAATATCCTGTCTGATCATCCTACTACCAGTGTTTACGCTCGAAACCAGGAATTATTTGTCATTGGCTATACTTCTTTCATGCAGTTTCCTTTCCTCCTCCAGTCTCTAGTTAAATACAACTCGGCCACACAACATTCTCATGAACCTCAAAACCTCCAACTGAAAAACTGAGTTTTGCTATATGATGTTATGTTAAGATTTAATCTCTCATTGTGGACACCCTTTCGAAATTCAATGTTTCATTCAGGCCAAGTGAAACGGAAGTGAAAACTCCCTCTTACATCTAGGTTCAATTCATCTTGTCCTGAAAGACAAAAAGACAAATCTCAAAATACAGGGATATCCATAGTCCAACTTTGATGTGTGCTCTGGTATCCAGAAACAACTCTACCATCTAGCTTCGAGAAAGATTTGAAAGCCCACGTTGAAATTATCACCACCAGGATTGATAAAGCAGCTGGATTGGAAAACCCCAGTTGCTTGATCAGCTCAGTTGTCATCCCCGACTGGCTTTGCCAGAGGTGAGGAAAGACTCACCCAAGATTCGAATGTTGATCACCACGAATGCCTTGGAAGGCTGGTATTTTGCTGCGATGCCAGGGTCTTCACTTTCGAATTCCGCTTGAACGTATCTTGAACTATATTTGACTGAGGCTGATATGGATATAAGGCGGTCAGGTTGACCTATATCACTGTAAGAAATCGCAGAGGGTTGAATCACCTTCATTCCCAAGAACTCCTGCCCCATTAAGGGGTTCTTCAACCAGTTGCAACTCGTCACCAGTGTCAAGTTTAATAGCTGCCTCAAGTTGTTTGAATTTTGCGTCGATTGCTTCTTTCAAATCTTCGGCGCTCATTTCAAATTGGATATATTTCTCCAAGTGGTTATAAAGGGGTATGTCAAAATGCTTGAGAGGAAGGAGAAGATGTTGTATTGTGAGTTGCACATCATATGGTGCGTTTGCAACTCTTTTAAAGTCTTTTTGGAGCAAGTTTATCCTTGTTCGACTGCTTAACCATTCAGCTAAGTGACTGAATAAACCAACCCTTATCGAAAGTTGAGCCAGTTGTAAGCAGGCAGCACGTGATAAGCAGAATAGAATTCGGCGGTTTTCTTGAAAGGGGCATTCTGTGAATCCCTTTCAACATCTAGCCTCAGCTCAGATCTTAAGTACTACTGGTCAGCTCACGTGCTTCATCCCTCAGCCGCTTAAATTGCGGTGGTTCTGGCCTGTCCAACCCGAGGCTCATGGTGGCTGAGCAGTTCAACAACAGTGGATCAAGCTTACTCAATATTCGTTTATTCGTCCGAATACAAGGCTTCGACGCGTTCTCATCAGCTCCGCGGCAATCCGAATTCTCAACTTTTTGAATCAAAGGCATCTATTTATTTAAAATTATCATATTCACCTCTAAAGATTTCAAATTCTCCTAGAAAGTTTGAATTGTTGGTCACCCTCAAACCGAAATGCCTCCTCCAAATCAGATTGTGTGCCGCTGCGCACGTTGTTCGATGTCAATATGTCGCTTCAAGCAAGTAGAACAGCCAGGCCGCATCTGGCAGCCAAAATCCCAGACATACAAGGAACATCGAGATGCAATCAAGAAAGCTGCTACACCGTCACGTGAACACACCGTCGGTGCCGAGAGTCACACTCATTCATCCGCGAACCAATTAGGCCGAGATCGAAGTACGGTCATAAATCTCCAATGAGATTACATTGAATGAGCTGATATCTTTTGCTGAAATTTCGGCCACCACAGGTATACAGCATGAGCCAACGAACCATTGGTCACATCTGGATATTGCATCCCGGATCAGCTCACTCCGACAGCCTCAAGATCAGTCCACTAGTCACTTTCAGCCTGTATGGGACGGGATGACCATTGACTCAAGTATGTAGTAAGCATACTTCGCTTGGAAGGGTTGAATGTTGACACTCATCTGTTACAAATAATTAGGTAAACATAGCATCCAATATTACGATCAATTCCAACGCAAAGAAGCCGCAAACTTAATTTTAATCACCATGGTCACCTGTCTACACTTATTCGAACACATCAGTGTGGCAATCGCTAGCCTATGTCTCCATGTAATTCAAGTCGCCTTATCTATCTGCAATATTTCAGGCGGACATAGCAGAGATTGGAGACCGGTAGATATCAGAACTGTGATTAGTGACTTGAGGATTGAGCCAGAGATCAAACGAACTTTCTGCTGCCCTAAATGCTTTCAACTTTATTATGACAACAAGATTCCACAAAACTGCACCTACCGAGCTACTCGACGAAGTCCCAAGTGTAAAGCCCCTCTATATCGCAAGACCCGTGGGCCTAATGGTGTCGAAAAGTTGCATGCCACCCGACTTCTCTCCACGCTATCTTTCACCGACTGGTTAGCTAGGTTTTTGAACAGACCGGGCATTGAAGATTATCTCGCTTGCGATAAAGATCCGAAGAGCCCTTCCGTGATGGACGACGTTTGGCATGGGTCAATGTGGAAAACTCGTCGTGGAATCGATGGCAGATCATTCACAAGCTCTCATAATAATCTTGTGTTTTCATTAAACGTCGACTGGTTCAATCCTCTGGGAAATAAAGCTGCAGGCAAACATATATCTATAGGAACAATCGCACTTGTCTGCCTTAATTTGCCGCCCGACATCAGATCCGCTCCGGAAAACATTTTTCTTGCAGGTTTAATTCCTGGACCCTCAGAACCCAAATTGACGGACATAAATAAAGTGTTAGCCCCATTGGTTCTGGAGCTCAAAGATTTGTGGAACGGTGTCAAGTTTTCTTCGACTTTCAACCATCCCAGGCACGGCCGCATCATCCGTGTCATGCTAGGCCCAATCATATGTGACCTGCCAGCCATACGGAAAGTACTAGGAATGGCTGGCCACGCCTCCAAAAAGCATTTATGCTCAATATGTCTAATCCAGAGTCATAATCTGGACATGATTGATATCCCGAAGAAATTATACCGATCTCATCGCGTTCTTCGTGCAGCATCATTGGCCTGGAAGAACGCTACTACTATTGAAGAAAGGAAAGAAATCTTCAAAGCACATGGTGTACGATATTCGGTATTATGGGAGCTTCCTTACTTCAATCCACTCAAACACACCGTAGTTGAGCCGATGCACAATATATTCCTGGGCCTACTTCGAAACCATGCACTGAATATCTTCGGTATGAAAACAAAACCCAAGAACAGCGACGGCAAGGCAGTGAACAACTCTAACCCCGAACACTGTCCGGATCCCGCTTCAGACGACGACGAAATGTTAGGATCTGAGGGCTCAGATGAACATGAGATGACCAGTGAAGATGATAACATGAATGAGTCGAGTTCGGCGTATATCCGCTCATGCCAATCAGCATCAATAGATAACTTGGATGCGCTCTCGGACACAGAAAGCTATGGGTGTCATGATGATGAGATGGACCTGGCTCTTGCATTTGAAAATATGGACCTTGATAGCTTGAGTAAACCTAACGACATCGAAGAAACAAACTACATTGATGCGGATGATGACAGCGATTCAGATCTCTCATCAGAAGATGCGATATCGGAATTCGAAATGGACGATGGGGAGGAAGACTTTAGTAATATTTTCAGTGATAAGCACAATCTGAATTTACTACATGATGCTATACAGCAAGTTCAACTCCCTACCTGGATTGGTCGAGTGCCAAAAGGAATTGGGACAGCATCAGGTGGCAAGTTAAAAGCAGACGAATGGGTAATACTTTTTCAGACGATGATCATTCCTGCGCTGATCTTGAGATCTCACGACACAGACACTGCTTCATCCAATATGTTTAGCCACAAAGGTGTCCAAAATACCCTTCACCTGATCAGTGTAATGAATATAGTGCGGCAATTAGAGGTTTCACAAGATGATGTTAAATCTTTACAATATCATCTGAAAAAATATCGCCAGGGCCTATCACATCTGTACGGTTCCTTCCCAGTACTACCCAATCAGCACATGGCTCTCCACATTCCTCATGTTCTAAAGGTCTTCGGTCCCGCGCCTCAGTGGACGGCATGGACGTTTGAAAGACTGAATGGTCTATTGACACAGATACCGAATAATAATCACCCTGGTACGTGTGAGATTTTCGCTTCTCTATCATCTGCATTCCATAACATTCCTGACACTTTACTCACTCGCAATCCATCTGACCACCAACACGATGCTTGATTCTATTCGCCTACATCTCATAGACGACCGAGAACTCACGCTCCTCAGAAAGTGGACCACAGCTCAGAACCTGCGGTCTATCCTTCCAGTTTTGTGCAAAAGCCTCCCGAGAGAAGCATCAACACTACTTGTAAAATTCTCATTGCCCAAACGTGCATGGCGCAGTGCCTCTGGACGTCTTCAATCAGAAGACGCAAGTCCGGAGTATGCATACGATCCCCGGAAGTCTGATAGTCTTGACTACGATTCTCATGTCCGCCTTGTGCGCAGGATGAACGAAATCTATGAAGAGAGGGTCGTGATTGCTACAGAGGTTTACAAAACGAAACAGCAAGACAAAGGCATCATTCCTCTTTCTCGATGGGTGAATCAGCTGCACTCAGTGGATGTTCATAATGTCAAATATACCATCAAAAGCAAAAATGTCGCAAATAGCACTGTGCTATATCAGGTCAAGAACGCACAGCGGAAGACTGTAGTGGTCTGCGGTCAAATCGAGGAAATTTTCACTACAATGGTCAGGAGAGATGAAAGAAACGATATTCAACTTTGGCTCGAGATCAATAGGTTTGATGACTTGAAAGCTGTGCATCAAAAGAAACATTGCCTCAAGGATTGGCCGCATGTCAAGATGAGACTGGTGTATAACCGACAGAAGACAATCGATTTAATCCGCGTTGACGAACTCGTGAGCCATGTAGCTTTGTGGAAGACTCCAAAGGATTGTTTTGGTATCACTGAGTCAACTTTGCTAGTCACTGACCTATCTAAAAAGTCGTGCACTAATCATACTATCTTGTAGCTGTAAAAATCTCCCGAGTCCACACACTTTGTGTTCTTTTGCTAACTTTTGTACATAGTATTTTCTGACCTAAGTTCTGTATTGAGTATGCATGCTGATAGTTGTACTCAATTTTGTTCTCCATTTAATAGCCCTCTCGTGTCCAAAAGGCCAGGATCAGGCTTTGCTTAGACTCTCATACCTCCTTCATCTTGCGCAAGGCCGCGGTTGTTGACAACCGTGACCCAGAGGTGCTATTTTGAGTAACACAGCACTCCGCCCAAATTCGATAGTACTATCTCCGACGGGAGTACCTTTGTCACAATTGATTGCTCCTTCCTCTCAAACTTGAAGGTTTTTGTATCAATCGCTCATTTGTAGCTTTTTACTTTTTACATTTGTTTTTTGAGTCAGTGTCGTCTTTTTGGGCCCAGATTTCTCTTTGTCTGTTTCCAATTCCGACTATTTATCTTTTGTTACTCAATCAGTGGTCATCTTCCTTTATTTCATTTCTGCCTTTGGAATAATCATGATAAGACGAGTACTGTTTTCGTAGCCCTCTCGGGTCCGCGATATAAGCATCAGGCTTCTCTCACTCTCGAACCTCCACCTTGCGCAAGGCCGGGGTTGTTGACAACCGTGACCCAGGGATGCCAGGTAGAGTACCGTGTATTTTACGGCCGACAGGAGGACCGCTCTTCATCAACAGTTTAGTAGTTTACACCTGCAACTTTATCAAGCCGCATTATACTGATTAAAAAGAAATGGAATGAAACAAAGGCCTAAGGCCATAAGCATTTGATTTGACTGACTCACTGACTCAGTGGGTCAGTTGTCAGACAGACCAAGTTGTCACATGTTTTGGTCTATCAACTGATCTTCTCAAGGAACCGCTTTGTCACTTTGTCGTTTGTCTCTTATTGATTGTGAGCTATCCAGACAGCTGGTGGCAACACCGGGTGGCAAAGACTGCATGAGAATTTTGGGCATGCTCATTTCTCTGAAACTTCAGGGTTTTTGTCTCAATCACTCAATCATAAGCTTTCTAAGTTTCCTAGGTCAGTGTTGTCTTTTTGGGCTCTGATTTCTCTTCGCGTGTTTCCAATTAATTTCGACCATTCATCTTTGCTCACTCAATCATTGGTCATCGTCCTCTATTTGATTTCTCTCTTTGGAACATTCAGCGCCTTTGGTATGTACTTGACGACCCTGAGCCCTTTTCCCTTTTTCCGTTGATCTGTTTGAACTCTTGATTGAACCTGAGATTATTAACTAATCTACGCATCAATAAGACTCGAAGAAGACGCTGTATTTATTTTTAGTAACCCGGGATGCAAAGAAAAGAGTTTACAACAGTGCGTATAATGAGGGACGCAGGAGGTCACGAGGAACCTGTAAGTACTTTCAGGGGTATGTGTTAAGCTCAAAGCATGAGGCTTCACCGGTAGCTAAAGAATTATATCCAAACTGGCTCTACTATATCAATCACCCCGTCCAAGCGTCGCTGGAAGCCGGTGATAAGTTTGTATCTGTCAAAATAAAAATGTCAGTGTTTAGATACATCATCACTCAAGGGAAAAGACGGACTTTGATGAATCAGAGCATTCCAAAAATCGATCATTTCCTTTTTCATCATGTAGAATGCTGGAGACAGCCGAATATATCTCCTCAAATATACTCCAGCAAAAATACCAATGACCCAAGGGATACTCTGTGTAAGCCGCCCACAGAATCCGTTTTTTGGTTGCAACCCAAGGGGTAGCAAAACCTCTTCGATCATAACCGAGCAGATCTGGGAGGCGAAAAGTGTCTTCCACCTTGGTATTTTGTGATGCCAGGCCACCGATATCAAGGCCCTTACCGTATCAATCCATACTGGAGAACTTTGTGTAAGACGAACTAGAGGTTGATAAAGTTCGATCAAAGTTCGAGCTATGTATAACGGAAGTATGTGTTGAAAGAGTCCACCATAGGGTCGAAGATAGGATCGAGTCATAGCTTTGGGCTTGTTTTGATTTTGTTGAAGATTATTTAGGGACTAGTGATGACAGATGATGGTCCTGAGTCTGACTGATGTACTCAAGTGGCCGGATTCAACATATTCATCCTTTATATCTGCCAGTCACTCGGCGTCTGACTAATTTGATACTGTCCTTTGTCTCGAAAGCATTCTTCGACATTCTTATTCTCGACGATAAGTTTCTTGAAAGGCATGGGTGCCTGCTCATCCTCTTTGCTACCCTTTCATCATTTAGCCATTATTCGGTCTCTGCTCAATCGGGCGTATTGATTGTGCTGTGCATCCACCAAGCTGAGCTGTACATACATGCTGAGCTTGCTACAATCTATCTCTCTAACTACCCTCGCCGCTTCCAGACCTCAAGACCTCTCAAAATACCGTTGCTATCCTCTTTTCTACTCTTTCATCATTTAGCCATCGTTCAGTCTCTGCTCAATCGGCCCTATTCATTGTGCTGTGCATCCATGCTGAGCTTGCTACAATCTATCTCTCTAACTACCCTCGCCGCTTCCAGACCTCAAGACCTCTCAAAATACCGTTGCTATCCTCTTTTCTACTCTTTCATCATTTAGCCATCGTTCAGTATCTGCTCAATCGGCCCTATTCATTGTGCTGTGCATCCAAGCTGAGCTTTTTACAGTCTATTCTCTAACAATCTTCGCCGCTTCCAGACCTCAAGACCTCTCATAATACCGTTGCTATCTTCTTCTCTAATCTTTCATCATTTAGCCATCGTTCAGTATCTGCTCAATCGGCCCTACTCATTGTGCTGTGCACCCAAGCTGAGCTTTCTACAGTCATATCTCTTACCTGGTCAAAGTCCAAAAAGTCGCCTCCCCATTTGTTGTCCCTCCAAAGTTAAACTCGAGGCAAGGACAGTCTAAGATCCAGAAACCACTCGCTATCTCTCTGACAATCCCCGTCGCTTCGAATCATGACGTCTAATTCGATACCTTCAAACCAAACATCCACAGCCAAGACAGTCCTCCAAACGCTGAGAGATCTCGAGGTGAGATTACTCAGCGAGATACTTCAACGCACCATCATAGTTTGTTAACGTCATTCTACCATACAGATCCTCACGCATTCTCATCACAATGTCCAAATGGAAAGCTTTGTGAGGCTTAAAAACGACTTCAATAATTTCGAGGTCAGTATACTTTAGTTCCGCATGGACTGGATCAGACGCATCCTCAATATTAATGACTCTTTCTCAACAGGCAAAGTCTGAATTGACATATCTGCAGCTTGAAGCGCAGATCAAGAGTACTCAAAATGTAAGTAAATCAAGTTTCTTCACTCTTTGTGTTCAAACTCTGACAGACCACTGCTATAGTCATGTAGGGCTCCAATGAAGGTCAGCTCCACCGTGCAACAGGAAGCTTCTTTATACAAGTTGTTGTCTATTTCTCATGCTGCCATCATTTGCAATTCCGAAACTTTACTTTTTATGATCACATCAGGAGTTCGAGGTTGACAAAAAGGTAAAATTCAAAATACACAAGCAAACTTCCGGCTCCAATTCTCAACATCATGACTTCTACAGGGTTCACAGACGATCAAACCATACCAAATAGATCATGTTTCAGACGCAAAACTCGCGAGTCTGCAGGAGAGTGTAGCCGGCTTAATTTCAAGGCTTGATATCGCGACCGGAAGAATTGATGAACAGCATTCGGTCAGTGTCTTGCTATCTGGTCTTTTGATTGAATATCCAGTGACAGTAGGTTGTTTTATGATATCAGGGAAGCCAAAAGCTCAAAAGTGAACTGCAAAGCTTCAATGCTCAAGCAGAGGAACGACTACGAAATTTGTCCTTCTGGAATGGAAAACAAGAGGCAGAACTGAGTAGATTGAATAATACGCTTGTCCAGTTGGAAGCTAAATCACATGATGAACAAACGCATTTTGTCAAAACAGACCAGCTCACAGAAACCGTGTCCAGCTTAAAACAGTCTGATGAGACTCTCGGTCAGGAAATCTTGGCTAGTAAGGAAGTGAGCATACCCTTTCTGCCGAGGAATCAAGTCTTCTGCTTATTTAATCCTTTCTTCTATTCTGTTATATAGACATGCGGAGCACGCTTCCAGAGAGTTTGCGTCAGGATAGATGTGAGTAACCCCCTGTCCATATAAAAACGGGATCAGGATTGATCGGTGATGACCTTGTGTTTGTGACGACATTCAAAATATACAAAAGGCGCTTGAAGAACTTATTGGTAGATCTGACGAAAAGATAGCGAATCTTCACACTCTTGTCCAGAAAGACAAGGATGTATTTGGATACGAGTTGAAACGATTACAGGAACATAATACCACCTCAATGACCAACCATTGTTCCGTTATCCAAAAGTTAGGAGAGCTGGACAAACAAATTGCGAATATCCGTGCGATTCACGATTCATCAGAAAATACACTTTCAGGAAGAAAAGATGGAACAGTTTCTAAAGTAGGTACTGAACAATCCTTCTTCTCATTATCTTCATGCCTTAAGATTTGATCTTCTCTCAGCATACTGAATTACAGGAGGAGCTTCTCGGCCCACTGCACCAAAAGATCAATGCATTGGAGGCTTTAATCAACAACAATCCTAATCAAGTGCGTATAATCAAGGCATCGGTGTTTCAATTTTGGCTCGATATTTTCAGCACTTTGCTCACCCCCTCTCTTCTCATCTGATGGATTTTCGCAGTTAACAACAACTCACGCTGTTCAAAGCCTAGGTGTTCCAGACGTCGTACGTCATTTCTGATCTTTTGTGTTTTCTGAACTTTTGTGTGGGAAGCATCTCTGAGACATAGATCTTTGTTGCCAAATTGCAGGAAGAGCTTCTAAGCCCACTGGACCAAAAGATCCAAGCGTTGGAGTGTTTATTCAACAACAATTCCAATCAAGTGCGTATAATCAAGGTATCGGTGTTTCAAAACTTTGCTCGATATGCTCACCTCTTCTCTTCTCATCTGATGGGATTTTGCAGATAACAACAACCCACACTGTTCAAAGCCTAGGTGTTCCAGACATCGTACGTCATTTCTGATCTTTCGCGTGGGAAGCATCTCTGAGATATATACCTGTGTTACCAAATTACAGGAAGAACTTCTCAGTCCACTGCACCAAAAGATCCAAGCATTGGAGTCTTTAACCGACAAAAATTCCCATCAAGTGCGTATGCCCCAGGGATCAATAGTATCTACACTCTGCTCACCTCATCTCTTTAAATTTCATTTGATGGGATAGATAATATCGGCTCAAGCTGTTCAAAGCCTAGGTGTTCCTGACGTCGTAAGTCATCTTCGATCTTTTGCGTAGAAAAAATCAGTGAGATATATGTTATTGTTGCGAAATTACAGGAAGAGCTTTTGAGCCCAGTTCACCAAAAGATCCGAGCATTGGAGTCTTTAGTCAATAGCAATTCCAATCAAGTGCGTATACTCAAGGCATCGATTTTTCCCACCTTTTCTCGAAAGTTTCAAGCCTTTACTTACCTCTTCGCTTCTCATCTGATGTGACTTTGCAGATAACAACGACTCCCGCTGTTCAAAGCCTAGTTGTACCAGACCTCGTAAGTCATTTCTGATCTTTCGCGTGGGAAGCATTCCTGAGATATATACCTGTGTTGCCAAATTACAGGAAGAACTTCTCAGTCCACTGCACCAAAAGATCCAAGCATTGGAGTCTTTAACCGACAAAAATTCCCATCAAGTGCGTATGCCCCAGGGATCAATAGTATCTATACTCTGCTCATCTCATCTCTTTTCATCTGATGGGATAGATAATATCGGCTCAAGCTGTTCAAAGCCTAGGTGTTCCTGACGTCGTAAGTCATCTTAGCTCTTCTGCGTAGAAAAAATCAGTGAGATATATGTTATTGTTCCGAAATTACAGGAAGAGCTTTTAAGCCCAGTGCACCAAAAGATCCAAGCATTGGAGTCTTTAGTCAATAGCAATTCCAATCAAGTGCGTATACTCAAGGCATCGAGTTTTCCCACCCTTCCTCGAAACTTTCAAGCCTTTACTTACCTCTTCGCTTCTCATCTGATGCGACTTTACAGATAACAACAACTCCCGTTGTTCAAAGCACAGTTGTACCAGACGTCGTGAGTTATTTTTGATTTTTTTTGTGGGAAGCATCTCTGAGATATATATCTTTGTTTTCAAATTATAGGAAGAGCTTCTCATCCCACTGCACCAAAAGACCCGAGCATTGGAGTCTTTAATCAATCAAGTGCGTATGCCCCAGGCATCAATAGTCTCAACACTCTGCTCACCTCTGCTCTTCTCATCTGATGCGATTTTACAGATAACAGTAACTCACCCTTGTCGAAGAATTGGTGTTCCGAACTTCGTAAGGCATTTCTGATCTTATGTGTACAAAGAATCTCTGAGATACATATCTTTGACATCAAATTACAGGAAGAGCTTCTCACCCCACTGCACCAAAAGATCCAATCACTGGAGTCTTTTATCAACAATAATTCCAATCAAGTGCGTATACTCAAGGCATCAATAGTAGTCCCTGCCTCCGCTCAATTATTCCCTCCTTCTCATACGTTGTGATTTCACAGTCAACAAACACTCGATCTAGTAGCCTCAGTGTTTCCAACATTGTGAGTCAATTCATGTATTCCTTGCGGTCAGCAATGCTGATGGTTTACATATTGTAGGATACCTCGATAGAAATCCAGACCCCAACACAACCCAATCCTTTAGATAGTGCCCATTCCAATATTATAAGGGACTCCCCATCTGGCGACTTGTTGATGAGATCGCCAAGTTCAGACTCCAGTACTGGAACATGTGTTCCAGGAAATCCGGTCAGCAGACGGCAAAAAGTGAGTTCAAGTCGGAGGAAATACACAAGGTCTACGCTTATAGTATGTATATTTTCCAATAGGGGAAGGCCCCCGAAGTCAGAAGGCTATCTTCCCAGTCAAGCTCTTCAGCAAATGCAAGTCACACTCCTTGAGTTCAACATAGACCAAGAATGTCAGCTGACTTGATCCACGATTTCCCATACAGAGACACGCCCTTGCTTTGAATTCTTCCCAATCTGCCAGCAGCTCCAGACAAAGCCTTCCTAACACCAATATTGGATACGGCGGAAGAATGCCTACAGGTGCAAATTCTTCTTTCGATGATGTTACAAGGGTGAGTAGAGTTGCGCATCTGAAGTACAATTCATATTCAAGCTCGAAGACTGATCAATGGTGAATGTGAATGCTTATTTGTTATAACACCACGGGAAATGACCTAAGCTTGGAAGTTCGAACTCGATGCTAACTCCGGCACAATCGTCAAGGAATAATGATCCGTATCAGACCCCCGAATCGAGTTCTCGTCCAAAGACAGCAGAAGTACCCAAAAGGGTGAAGAAATGGATGAAACCTGTGGAAAATCCTCGGGTCAAGCCCAGATACAGCCTTAGGACACAGAGAGCAACCATGGTTCCGGAGGTGAAGGATGATGATCTAAACTTGGTTAGTGGCCCCAGTAGTAGATCACAGATCATATCAAACTAATCCGCCCGCCACTGAAAAAAGACTAGAGCTTTGCATCAACACTTCCGAACTTTGGCAAATGTGGCCAGGCAAAAACGTTCTTTTCCGAAGTCTCCAACGAAAGCCAATTTAGACGCACTGCCTGTTATCGGGTCGACACCCCTAGGCACAGCTGCCCCTTACGTTCTCACCAACGCACAAGTGACTCAAACATGGGAGGAGGATGAAGGTACCCCCGAAAATTTTTCCAACTATTGCATTAAAAGATTGAGACAATATGGTCTCCCATTTGTGGGGTTGAGCTCTGCGCCTGAGCGCGAGAATCCACAATCTTCAGAATGGAATCGGCGAACTTTGGCTTTCTGCATAGACACATTCCACCATTTCTTGACTCTTGGCGGGGAGTATGACCACTTCTTTCGTCCAGACCGGGATGAACTTGACAACTCGAGGATGGAAGAACTGCTCCGCAATCACTTTGATTATCGCATATCCAACAAACGAATACACATGAAAGAACAGGATGCTATCTCGGAACATCAAAAATACAACCGACGGAGGGCTCGTTGTGTCCGGGTACGTTCTTTATCCTATCTAACCAAAGCATATAGACTGACAAATTTCTTCCATTGTAGTTGTCTCAGCGCCGGCGGGAGGCTTGCCTCTCCTGCCCAAGTGTAAAGCCATACGAGGAATTATTCAAGGATGAGCGTTTGTGCTCGAGTGACGAATCAGATGATAATGTCCTTGAAGAAGATCGGATCAGGCACATCCCAATTTATCGTTCTCAAGCAGGAACTATGTTGGTGGAGCATCTTGATATGATATATAGACAACTGAGAAACGACGAAGCGCCGAAGAGATCCGGAAGAAAACCCGCGAAGCGTATAAGATCAACAACGAGGCCTGCCGTCAACTCACCCAGGTGGCCAGTAGGTTTACCGTCAGATTGTGTGGATGAGTTATTCTTGACTAAAATTGGAGCCCCAGCGGTTCAAGCACTCAGATTGAGGGACCCAGTTTTGAAGGACGTTCCTGTCCTTGTAGCTTCTTATTCATAGCCGTCATCCTTCAAAGCTTCATCCAGGGATGAGCCAAATGTAGGCGTTCTGGGCTTGGGCACGGAGGTACTTTCATGTATGTGATCTGGGGACACTTATTGTTTATGTCTGGATATTGTTGGTGATTATATATGGTGATTTTTGGTGATCATAACAAAGAGCTTTTAATTTCGGCAAGTGAGAGAATCTACTCATAGTAAACACCCTTGCCTGCCCTCATGTAAAGCTCACGGTTGTCGACAAACGCGAGGGCATTCAGATCGCAAGGAACTTTGAATGTCCGAAGCTGCCCTCGCAACGTCATGTGTGTCCCAAACCAGTCTACTATCTTATCAGCTATGTCTTCTGACCTACTCATTTGTTAGCACAGTGCGTTTTTATGCCCTAGGGCCAGGTATCGCACAAATATATTCATTTTTTTTTAAAAAAGGCGTCTTTTGGGTGTTTACATCATGTATGCTCAAGCTATCGCAAGTGAAAGAATCTACCCGTAGTACCCATGAGTGAATACCCTTGCCTGCGCTCATGTAGAGCTCACGGTTGTCGACAAACGCGAGAGCATTCAGGGCCCCTTCCGTCTATTCGAGTCGACCGAAATAGAGTTCGAGGTCCTCATCATCATAGTAGATATACGATATAGCCGAATCTGAAGGTTCGAAAGCCTTCTCCGGGTTGAATACTATGGCCAAGATGAAGGTATGAGAAGGTCAATATATGATCAAGCCCGAAAAGGTGTGAGCTGATGGGGTTACCTAACACAGGCCTAGATGTTTGAGAACGAGTAGCTTTAAAGCTACAAAGTTACTGCCATGCACCTATCAGATCATATCCAAAAGGTTCAAGACACTCAGCGGAATAGCGCAGATGGACACCTGAGCAAAAACTAACCCAATGTCGGGGTGGGACATATAAGTTTACAATGAGGCTGAATCCACCATTTCCAAATACATACATATGTGTCTAGGGTGTGTATGTACAGGTGGTAATACAGAAACATGTATATGAATATGTATGTATAAGCTTAAGTATCCCAGGGCCCTGTTACATCTCAACCTATCAGAACGTATCTCAACCAACAACTTGATAATTTATTTGCTCTTGGCTCTTTCTCTGCCTCCCCCAAAATCCTCTATTTGTGGGTATTCATTCATTCTGACTGGACCAACTCATCAACCAGATTTCCTGATCTTGCTGTCTACCACATCATCACATCAATCAACTATCCTTCTCTACTTACTTTGCTGCTTTCTCGACGGCCTCTAATTAATCCCAGCTAGTCAATCACATTCAAACGACTAAAGACTGTGGATCAGACAGTCACTCGCCACCTATAAAGATGCTGAAACCAAATCCTCATGATTTGCCTGAGAAGACCCGATATTACCTGCATGACCTGGACCAGGTCAGTAAGGTCGTAGGTGTATGGTTGCAGAGTATGCCCATGACATATCCCCTGCAATCAGCCTTAAACACCGTTTGGAATGTAGTTGAAATTGAGCTTCAGGGTATGTTTAGTCCTTTACTTTCTAGTTTTCCTGTTTCTTTCATTGATCATATGATTGCTGATAGCCATCCTGACATCTTGTCGTATGTCCGTTAGCTATCGCAAAGGACATCTTACCATCGGACTTTATTTCTATATCAATTTGGGACGATTCTTCTTATTTAAACAATCAGCAAGGTTCATATCCAGGCTTTAATAGGGCAATGGACCAAAATTTGGACAAAATCAAGAATCATAACGGGAAGCGTGAACGAAGTCCCCATGATGATGCGAGACCGATTTTCAATATTCACCACTGCTCTACAGTTTTGTCTACATCTGTCGGAAAGCCAATGGCCTCTACTGAATGTGTATCAAATCATCTTTCTCAATCCGCACATCACATCGAAGCAAAAAGGCACAAGACAGCTTCAATTGATGAGATGATTCTGTCTGGTCAAAACCATCAAAGTTTATATACGCCAGACTCAGGCAAGAATCCTCCTAAATCCCGCACGCGGCCGATCCCAAGCGACATGGATAACATCATTCAGGAAATCTTTCGCCTCGACCCTCTTCCCTCGTCCATTGCCGTTGGTATCCCCTCAGACTACGTAGCTACGCGGATACGATACCCATGCTACTTTCCCAGCCCTGATGATTACGAGGTAGGAGAATTATGGGAGAAAATTGATAGTGAGTTTCTGAACGTCGTGGGGGCGGATATACTGAGTCGGGGCGACTTACGACGTGGCAAATACGGGGTACTTGGCATTGTGGACTGGATTCTCGACGCACGCGAGCATCCTGGCTGGGACGACACATGCGAGAATGTGGTGTCAGGTAAACTGGTAGAGTTACGTGATCGTCTCACCAGTGCTTTGCTTCAGCCAGATCACGTTTCCTCTCATGCGTCTATTCTTCACTCGCCTACACATTCTACAACCACATTGGTCGGACACGATTCTCCCCCAACTTTTATGAAAGATCGAGATCAGCCTCCCTTCACAAAAGCCAACACCAAATCCAAGTGGATGGATACCGTCATGGTCAGTGATGCGTCATCGTCGGATGACACCCACGGGGTCGGTTTGCCTGCACAAACAATCCGTCCTGCAATCAGAAAAACCGGTGTGATCGTTGGTGCAATCCGCATGCCCAGAAGCGCGTCTCCCCCTCCGGATACCGACGCAGAACAAGTGCAATATCAATCCGCTTCAAAACGAGCGAGCTCCATCCGACAATCTACCACACCCAGAATCATTGGTACAATACGCATGCCCAGAAGTGAAACTCCTCCATCGGATACCGACGCAGAACAAGTGCAATATCAATCCGCTTCAAAACCAGCGAGCTCCATCCGACATTTCACCACACCCAGAGTTATTGGTAGAATCCGCATGCCCAGAAGTGAGACTTCTCCATCGAATACCGAGGCACAAGCACGATTCAATCTATCTCCGCATCTTTTGAATGCATCCAAGTCAAAGGTGGTCAAAGCAGGAAGCACAGATCAGCTTTCAATCGAAGGACCCGACAACTCATCTCATATAACTCAAACCGTAGGACCAGGTGACTATGGATCTTTTGTTGCATTGCTAAATTACAATTGATCATAGCTCACACGTATCGTTTTTTGCTAGGTCAAACGATTACCATGAAATCTTTGCCAGACGTCGATCAATATTCACTGTCAATCGTTGGGCCAGTAACTGCAACTGATAACAATTGCCACTTGCGCTGCCATGAGTCATCGCCAATGTGAGTGAAGAAGAGAACTTGAGCCTGTTACATAATGCTGACACCAATAACTTTTGAATTGTCAGTCCAGGCGAAGGGAATGTTGATCAAATCACTGGTGATTCTCCTCCCACACGCGATCAATCAACAAGACTGCAAGCGTCAGGCAACTCTTCTTCATCATCCGCCGCCCAGGAAATATCATCCCACCAATTGATTGACTCCTCTCAACCGCAACCAATCTTTATAAGCTCTTTTTGGGTAAAGCAAATTGACATATACAAGAGTATATCAGTCGAAAAGAATAACCCTCAGCCCACTGAACTATCCGAAATACATAAGGCCAAACGAGTCTTATTAGAGACCTTGATTCGAGGATCGTGTACTGAATTCAATCCTAACGAATCGCTGTCACGGCCTGTTACTTTCAGCAGCTTGGGCCAACCTGGCATTCGGTCATGGTGTGAACAACCAGAAAGTGGGTCCTTTTTGCGAAACACCCGACATATTTCAATACTAACTACCCGTATGGTGGTTTAGATCGAGAGCTTTTCACTCCAGGTCTGGAAACGATCTGGTATAAGCCTGAAGTCTTCAATTTTGACGCCATTGCGAATTCCGAACCTCCGGAGTCGATCTCTAGACACGAGCGCTTTCTTTGGAATACACTCAAGAATTTTCGTGTGCCTAGTGCCACTCTTGTTGAACGTGGAATGCACTACGTATTGGCGGCGCTTGTCTTAATTGGATCCGACGCTGAACAGCCGCATCACTCTCCCGAGCTGCCTGACGTCTCATCAATATCCCATGGCGCTCGTACCGCTCTTTCATGCTGGCAACACTACAAAACACTTTCCTCCCTGCGTTGGGCTAAACTCGAAGCCAAGCGGATTGAAGCTGCTGACAATTGCATAGAAGATCTTGACAAACTGATTGCGACTATCTATACAATGGTGGAGACCTTCGCTAGTATATGGGCGTTTACATCTCTGAAGGCCGACATCGAAGCCACCCAGAAAGTTATCAGGGAAAATCAATCTCCCGAAAAGCTCGAAGCATTGACTTTAGGCTTGGAACAGCTGAAGAATGCTTGCAATCAAATCAAAGTAGAGTATGCCAACCTACCAGCCCTAGTCGCCTTTCTTTGTTGTGGCGTCAAGGGGCTGATGATCTACCCCAATGATATACGAGTATATACTCCTTTACGTGCCATAAACATCCTCCTGGTGACAAGCCATCTAGCCCAACTCGATGAAAGGATCTCTGAGCCAATATGGAAGAGAACTCAATCATACATAGTCGGATTTTTGAATGCTATCATTCAACCAACTGACTCATGGGTACCACAAGAGCTGAACCGATATCACTTGGCCAAGGCTCTCTTCCTTGATTTCTCGAACCATTTTATCTCACGTAATATATCAGAAATTTGCGTTCCAAAGGCCAGAGCTTATAAAGTACATAACAAAGCATACTCCTGATCATTGATACCACTTTCAATTCCTTCTATAATACTGCATATCTCATGCCTTTCACTCCATTTTACAAGGCTATATATCTCCATGCTTTGTTCCTCTACCCCTCTTGTCATACATTCTACAATAGCATCACTGTTCTGTTCCAAAAATCATGCCAAGGCTTGAACCATGTATACATGCACCGGATCCTGACTGGTGTCAAATGTCATGAGTGATCTTACACTTTGGAAATCCGCCCACAACTTTGCTGCATTAGCTCTGGTATTCAAATGAGCCATCATCTTTGGTAAGTATCAAATGAGAAGCATCAAAGATAGTCCTAAGCCACCATCTTTGGTAAGTATCAAATCACAAGGACCAAAAATAGTACTAAACAAAATGACACTCACCAAGGATCCGATCAGATCAGAAAGCACAAGCATGTCTATGGTAATGCCCATGGTATCTGTCACCCACATCATCAAAGAGAAAAAGATCGAACAAAGGAGAATGTGGAATGAAAAGGCGTCGTAAACAATATCAAAATCATCACAAGCACACTTGATCTTCTCCACTATACAAACAGTTAGGAATAAGAAACTGAAAGCATTCCAAATTAATTGTCCCAACTGTAGTTGTGGTTGAGCTTCCATCACGAGCAATTTACAGTGCAAGGCGTCCAGAATCACGTCGATGTCTTCCTTTGATAAAAATTTATTAGAAGCCAGGATAACAGAGGTCTGCTCAGCCTCAGTTCCAGCGCTTTCTTCTTCAGATTTTCTACAGGGTTTTTCTGGTGATGGATGGATCAGCTGGAAAGATAATATGTATATACTTAATCACAAGGGTTTGAGAAATGGATGCATACCTGACCTGACTAGTGAATGGCTATCTTTCGAGACTGTAACTTCAACCACAGTCGGGTCCATCCCCTTTTCTGATTTCCATGAAAGAGTTGGAAGAATCAATATTTGTTTCTCATAATGGTCGAAGATGCTGAAAACTCACTGTCTTCATGATTATTTATTGCCATCAGAGGTGAAGGTTATTAGATGAATGAAGGTTATCAGATTGATTTTGTTTTTGTTTTGTAAAAGCGTCGATTTAAAAGCTGTTATGGGTGCTAGATATGTTCAAACACACTATGACTTCAAATACCGGCCCTTTTGAGGCTGGAAAGATACCCAAATGATTACTGAGCCTATTTGCATACTCATCAAGCTGAATCGATCGCAATAAATATAGAATGAGCCTATTAAGACTCAACACTGTCTGAGTCTATGTTTTCAATCAAAAGATCGATCTCCTTAATGCTTTAGAGAAAGGTTGTCAGCTTGCTTGACAGAGAGCTCAGGCATCTGATACTTATTCTAACTCATTCCAAAGACACCGCTGGGCTATTTAGCTCATTTCCCTTGGTTATCTGATTTCAAATTCTGGTTGATCGGGGTTTTCCCGTTGTTCTTCACTCACAGGGTTCGCAAGAGTAAAGCCCTTTGTTGGGTCTGAGCTATCGAGTCCGAATGGGGCTCAACATGAATTGGAATCACACATTTGTTGAGCCTGAGGAGGCGATACCAATCACCTAGGCTGATATCCTCAGGTATCACCCCTTGTTTCTACTCGAAAGGCAAACAGCCAGCTCGGCCCATGTCCTGCTTCAGCTCCCAATATCAAGTATATATAGACAGCTGCCCAGATGTCAATTTATATCAAACCATCATTGGACTTCAACCTTATACAATATATCGCAGCGACATAAGCCCATCCAAGTTAGATCTTGTTTATCAATCATCGTCAGTCCAGCAATCAGTATACCATGTCGAATTCCTCAAAGAAAAATGCGCTTCAATGTGATTCATGCAAAATCGAGTACCCATACCTTGCAAGATCACCCACCTCTCTCAAGCCAATCCTTTGCAATCCTTGCAAGTGGAATCGGTCACATCCAGACTCCGTTGACACCCATGTACCCTGCAAGATGTGCAGCTGTCGGTTTTTGAAACTGCCGTCCAACGTTTGCGCTCGCTGCAAAAAGCGCTTGGCCTCTGTTGAAGCCAGTGAGACGGATGAAAGTGAGCATATTAGACCTTCCTAAGAAGTATCGCTGTCCATTGCGATATTGATTTTTCCAACTTGACGATCTCATTCTCAGACGACGAACAGGAAGAATTGATACCTGAAAATGACTTAGGAACCTCATTTGATTTGACGAGCCAAGTTGATAGTCTAGCAGATTCACTCGACTCACTGTTAATACAAGGAGAATGTGAGTCCTCAGCGCAATCAACATTTTAATACTATCAATGAGGAAAACTGAATAGGTTTTTTCTGTCTTAACCTCATTTAGCAAGGAACGCAGATCTCTTGGTTGACAGTGAAAGTTTGAAGTCCAACAAAATTAAACTGGAAATCCTGCCTCCTAGAACGCCTGCCATATGCTGGAAAGATGGAGACTTACTGATGCTCATGTTCCAGAAAGGTCGAAAGAATCCAATTTTCCAGCCTTATCCAGTTAGATTCCGAGTGGAAGACAACAACTTGATCGGTTGTGGTAGATTCATGAGGTGCTACAAGGCTGAAATCAAAATCAAGCACAAGGTCCATCAGGTTGTTGCAAAGAAATCGGATTCTAAAGATGCATCTTTGTTATATTACCTGGAACAGGCTGAACTATACTTACTTGCAAGCCATGCTGTACAGAACTTCAAGAACACCATTCTCGAAAGCAGGAAGTTTGGAAATTTAGAGAGAGAACTAGTGGCTCAATTGCGCGTGAGTCGTAGCAAATGCATGCATTCATTCCTAGAGTTTACTTCTCACACAATTTTTATGTGACAATACAGTTTGTAGATCACTTTGTCGTTCAATCTGGAAAGGAAGTGTGGTACTTTGAGGAGGAATTGATCGGGAAGTATGAGAAATATGTTGGAAATGTGGATTTCACTGTGAAAGACTCAAGTAATGAACTTCATCTAATGCTCCATACACTGTCTCATTGGCATCTTCATCAACACAAAGGGCGTTCAATGCTGTGCGACTTTCAAGGGGTTGGTGCGACACTGACGGACCCAGTAATGATTGGTCTTGAGCAAGTGTCTCTGTTTCTCATCTGGAATCTTTCTAAAGCTAATCAATTGTTTTTGACAGCAAAACCTGGGGCAGTGGAAATACTAATTTTGACGGGCTCAGATCTTTCATCAAGATGCACAAATGTAGTCACTGGTGTGACAAGCTTGGTCTTTCCCCGCCTTCGATGTGGAAGGATGAACTCAAAAAGATGTGCAAAGAATCGTAGGCTAGTTTGTTAAAATATTTGGGCTATAAGTTGATCTTGCAGTAATAACACATTTGACCATTCAACTTGGATTTCAATTCATATATAATGATCACTATAATTTTGTTCCCTCACACATTTGACATTCTTTGAAAGACTTTGAGCACGGCTTGAACACAATTCATTCCTGAAATCTTTTTGCAGTCAAATGGATCACATTTTGAAATTTCATATTGCATCGCTTGTAGTGGTTGCCATTAATGCTTTACATCACATGTGCAACAAGCGATACAAAGGTTTGAGTGGCACAGAGGCTAGTGATGCATCTCGATCTCAGCGACTTTACATCACATAGAGATACATCACAAGGGATTCATGTGATGTGGAATCACAGCACAGTTGAATCACATGAACCCTTGCCATCCAAACTCACATGCGATGTTGGATCACATCCGGGAAAAGTGACTTAAAATCACATGATCATTACATCACACAGCACTAATGTGAATCAACATCACAAGTCTGAGTGCTTTGTGTTGGTGCATACCACCATGCCATGCAAAAATGTTGCCGGTGAGCAGTTGGTGTAGACTTGCACAGAAACACCTCATCTGTGGCAGCATGTGTGTTACATGCACGAGTCTCCCTGTCAGTTTTTCGACTTCCTTAAAGGTGTGTGGTGTCGTCTTCTCTAGGGCTTTGTCGACCTGTCTCATTCTCTCCTCTTTCTTTGATTCTGGTAATCTTACTGACCACTCTCTTCCATTCCAGATGAACCCGATATACTTCTGCTCTTCCTTGAACTCTGCGTACTTCCCCTCGTGTGTTTTTACTCCAAGTCTTGCACTTGCGTCCACCACGTCCTTCATTGCTACCAGATCGACTTCATCTTTCCACCTTACAAATAAGTTGTCATCTACCCACCTGAATACTTCTAAGAAATTAAACTTCAGCTTAATTATCGCTCTCCAAGTGTCTGCCGGCCCTCCAAAACTCCCGCATCCAGCCACACCCCCAAATGTTCCTCTCAAGTCCAGCAATATCCACCCCTCTGGTGTCCTCACCATCAGATATCTCCATTGGTTTGGTGCAGTTGGGATTTGCCGATAGGCCTTCTCCCCATCAAAAATTCCTAACTCTACCTCCCTTGTAAGTTTTGCAAAGAAATCTGCCACTCTTTTGAAGTTATCCCAGCTTGTTTCAAATTTGTCTTTATCTACCAATGGGTTCACTGATGTAATATCTTCTCTCCTCCTAGGGTATGACAGGTCGTGGATGATTCTTGTTGAACCATCTCCGTTTATCACCATGCCCATTGGGCTCGTTCTGAAGAAACCAATCTTCTTCACTACCTCCTCTTCCGTGTAAGGTCCTCTCATCCTTCCTGCTAATAACTCTTTCGTAAGTTTTTCCCTTATCTCTTCCTCCGCTTCCTTCGATGACTGATGGTTGTCTGGCGAGTAAAATTTTCTCCCCTCCAGACGGTGCTCCGGAATTTCCTGTGTGAATCCCTCTTTGAAACCTTCCAGCACATATCCGTGTTCCTCCATCAGGCTCAGATTCCTCAACTCCTTTTCCCACTCATTGATGTCCATTTCGCATTCTACTTGGGTTGGCCAGTCTTTCCTTTCCGGGTATGGGTGCGACTTCTCCCTCTCCTTCTCTCCGGATGACTCTTTCTCCTCCTTTAACTCCACATACTCCAGCTCGTAACTCTCTAGCTCGGTTCCTTGGTCTTCTTCCTGGA